TAGACCACAAACCCAAGGGTGTACGCTAAGGATATCTGTGTGTGTCAAGCTTTTAGACCACAAACCCAAGAGTGTATGGTAAGGATATCTGTGTGTGTCAAGCTTATAGACCACAAACCCAAGGGGGTACGCTAAGGATATCTGTGTGTGTCAAGCTTATAGACCACAAACTCAAGGATGTACGCTAAGGATATCTGTATGTGTCAAGCTTATAGACCACAAAACCAAGAGTGTAAGATAGGGATGTTTCTCTTCTCCAAGATGATATACCACAAAATATTGAGTATAAGAGCATTACAGTCATGCTGTATCTAAATATTACAGACATACATTACAAATCTAGTCCAAATCCAAGTTATCTGATTCTACACCTAAATGTGCACACTACACAGGGATGCGATGACGGATGAAGATGGCATGGATGAAGATGGAAAAGATGAAGATGACGCAGCTGATTAGCATTGACTCTAGCGAGTGAAACCACTACCCGTACTTACACTTCAACCTTTTGTCGTTTCCTGTAAGGAAATAATCTCATCATAAGGCTCTTAGCCCTATTTAGGTCATAGGAGTGTATTGCTAAACGGAAATAGGAAGTACATGCCTAGTCGAAAATCCAATGTAGGGAGACAGTATCACAATTTCCGCATATTCTAATGTTTAATATCAAACTGATGAATATGGTATGTTTATTATTGACAGAACAGTGTGTTCTTTCAATATTAAAGTATTTCAAAGCAATCAAGGCATTAATTTAGTTGTTTCTTAATCAATGAGTCACACGTGTCCATTTTTCTGTACTTCAGGAACCCGGCTACCTATTTCACTACTGTGAAGTTTTTCAAGAACGATAATTCTTACATGCAATTACTATGTGTATATGGTTTCGTTATAAAATGTCAATTTTTAATCGTTTATAGATAATTCATTTTACACAATTTCAGCATTTATGAAATTGATATATATTAATGCAATACAAATCTATGTCAGTATCATTTTTATTGACATAATATTGCAAAAAATTGTGTTTTTTAAATTCAATTCATTTAACATAAATTTCCATTTACTTTTAGTAAAATCCTTAAAATTCTGACAACCTATATTTTTTTGTGGCAGAACTTTTTCTTGACTTCAAAGCAATATAACTACAAAATTTGAAGAAATTCTACTGAGAAATGGCGACACAATCCTATTACCTTAATTTGATCAACGTAAGTTTCTTATTTTTTGTTTTTGAAAAATGAAAACAAAATTTCAAGGCAATTTACATGAAAATGGCAGAGACACTGAACATGCTGTGATGAAAAATTAAACAACAAAAAAATCTTGTAAATATCAATGTAATCCAGATTGAACAGGTTATCTACTCAAAGACTGATAATCAGGCTAACTTTCTTAAAATACGATAATCTGTGTACATGGAAACAATCTGACATTACGGAGGATATCTTGACTTTTTTAAGGGGGCGGGGGGAGCTTCCAAACAATAATGAAATATGTTTCCAATTCAATTTCGGCCAAGTTTATAATCACTGATTTTCAGACGGATGACAAAATTTACACCTTTTCAAATGTCTTTGGTGGCCTGATGTTGGAAAAGTGCAAAAATTCTGCAGTTTCTGTTTGTTTGAAATTTTTCATCAAAGAGAATAATTTTCAAAATATAATGCCAAGACAAAGAAACTTTTGAAACTAGAAAATGTTTGAAAGACATGATGAAGGTCCTTGCTTCCAGGTAAATAGGTATCAGTGTTTGACATTTCTATAAATAGTAAATGTGACCTTGGCCTTCACCTTATTACTCTGAAGTAAGAACTCATTCAAAGTAATCTCATGCTTGACCTCTGCATAAAGTTTCATCAAAATCCATTCACCCCCGCACACACTTGAAATGGCAGGACATTAAAATATTTTTTGCTATAGTAATGCACGGTGTAGGCATTTCTTTTTAAAACTTTAGAATGTTTGATATCCTGGGTAATTTATTTCATTCCAGCTGGATTCCATATCAACTTACAAATTATTTAGGGGTCCCTGTCCCACTGCACTGTGTTTTTTAGATATATACATTAGCCTCCCTCAATTTCCTTTTGGATACAGCTGTAGTACAGTTGGGCAAGTACACTTCTGTTGTCCAGATAGCTTTACAGTATAACAATCTGGGGAATGGGCTTAAAATCCTCGTCTAGCCACGCTAAATTTTTACCTTCTGAACCCTATAGTATTGATTATTTTTTGTTTATTTCATCGCTATCAAGTTTTTCTATTTATGTCCTGCAAGGTATTCTTTTCTTTTCAAAAATGATTTATCAAAGCACTAGGGTTACCAGAAGAAGAAGTTTCCAATGCACAGTTTTAGTTTTTGGCAGTGGAACGGGGATCCTTAATAGATATCTCATTGCAATATGCAGCCAGACCTACATCTTTAAGATATCATTTCCATGCTTAAGCTCTCCACTGAATGATCAGATTTTTACTTTTGTTTCAGGAAAAAATCAATAGATAAAATAAAACATCTGTGATTTAATTGACTCAAATAAATACAGACTGTTTCGTTAAACATATCCTGGGAGATGAAATTTGAATATGAAACAACAAATATTGATAAGGAAGTCATGGGTTAATATTGCAAAGATGTCAAATCACTGCAGGAAAAAAAAAGCCTTTTTATCAAACACTTTCAGTGCAGCATGCGTTTAACTTAAAAAAAAAATAATCAAAACAACAAATTTAGGAAAATTGAAGAGAATTATTAATAAATAAATCCAATCTTTCCTACCTGATTTCGGAGACTTTGCTCGAGTGTGGTTTGGGAATCTTTGGGGCACCAACATGGGGCATGTGACTCGATGGTCCGACTGATTGTGTATACATCGATATCTGCGGACCTGCAGACTCCTCGTAATCATCATCATCGTCATCCGAATCATAAAAGTGAAATGTTGCACCAAGATAGTCGTTTTCCTAAAACAATTTTTGTTTTTGAATTAAGAATACTTCAACAATGATTTTCCTCCCTCTTTTACATATTCAAGAATTTTTCAACATTTAAAAAAAAAAAAAAATCATCACTCAATCAAAACAATTGAGACAGCATATATCTTCAAGAAGTAAAACACTAAAGCGTACTTAATCCTGTAATCTGTATACAGTGTATAGATGAACAGTTAGATCATATCTATTGAGTTTTTTGAAATTCAAAATTTAAAACAATCATGTTCTCATAATGAAATTAAACAATCAATGTCAGATGCCAAATTTACCATTTTTATCACAATTTTTTAAATCAAGAAAGATAATTTTGATAATTAATAATTAAATATGAATAATTAACGAATTCAAATTTAAATACATGTAATTACAATAGACAATAAACCATGCATAACTGTGTCAATAGGTAGGTAGCAATGTATACACAATTTTTTCACAATTAAAAACAACTATGTATATTAAAATCTGAAACATTCAACAGATATCAATTTCATCATCATCAATCATAACAATGTAAAATTCAAGCATATATGACCATGCATAAACATATAATTTGGTCACAATAACCTTGATAAGCGAGTTTAATATACTCAATAAACCTTCATAACTATTTTTGACAATACCAATATGGCAAACAGTAAGTTAATCTAGAATCTAACCGTTGCTAATCCAAGTTTTCTCTAATCCTAAATTTCTAACAATTTGAGTACCGCAGTCAGTTACTGACATTGCAATGAGGTTTGACCTATGACCTGACATGATGAAATCTACTGTAACTGGCATTGCCATAAGGTTTGACCTATGACCTAATATGATGATATCTACTGTAACTGACATTGCCATGAGGTTTGACCTATGACCTAATATGATGATATCTACTGTAACTGACATTGCCATGAGGTTTGACCTATGACCTAATATGATGATATCTACTGTAAGATGAAATGTACCGTTGAAATTTTTATATATCACCAAAGAAACTATGAGCGAACTCACACATATGTACCCCTCGCTTGTGCTTATATTTGCTTCTCGAGCAGAAATTAAAGTTTCAAGGGCAGTTACTCCAGGAAAAATAATCAATTAAAACAAAATTCCTTCTTCATGCACATCTACCCATGATGAAGTTCTACTGTGCCAAGTTACAAAAATATCCAACATTGAGTTAACAAGAAGATGTAATTACAAGATTTCAGGAGCAAAAATTTAAAGATTCAAGGGCCATAACTCCAGGAAAAAATAGTCCAATCACAAATTCCTTTCTTCATGCACATCTACATATGGTGTACTTTCACTTTATCAAGTTACAAACAAAATCAACGGTTTAGGAGAAGTTGTGCTTACAAAGATCATTGACAAACAGACGGATGGACAGAGCGATTCCTGTATACCCGACAAATGTCTTCGGCAGGGGAGATAATAACGACAATAAATAATGACAATAAGAAACCTGATCCTCTATCAAAGTCAGCTGTGGCTAATATCATGTTATCAAGTGAATACAAAGACATCACAGAATTTTTTTATGAACATGCATATAGCATAACCCAGTTTGAAAAAAAATTTGTTATGCTGTTGCCTTAACTGAAAAGTTAATGTTAAATTGCGAAAGTTGCAATAAATAAATAATTTAGATTCAGAATTTTTTCTCCATATCTCAGTAATTGAGCAAGCGAAAAAGTTTCCTTAATCAAATTTGTTTGTTTTACTAAGATATTTTTTAATTTTCTGAAACTTTAACATCAATATTTTAGAGTTAAGAGTTAACACTGTACAAATACTGAACTACTGAATTCCCCATTACCTTTTACAATGCACACAGTTACAGTATATAATGTTTTTAGATGCAAACATGTCGAACAATCTGTCAGTGTTATTTACAATGATATTAATAATTTTATAATTATAATCCAAGAATCAGTAAATTGAACAGTTGACATTAAAATTCTAGTCTCAAACTCAGTTACACAGAAAAAGGACCCATATGCACCGACAGTCAAGGATTTATCAGGGAGGTTTGAGAAACAAAACCAGATTTCAAAATTAGAAAAACCTGAAATTTCCCAAATGTAAAGGTGAATCAATTATAAAAGGAAAAATAATTGATAATTGGTAGATAGGAATTATTTAAAAGCCTGTTTTAAGTTATTAATACATATTTTGAAACTAAAATTCATTAATTATGAGGTTTTGTTTTTACTTTTTTCAAATTCTGATATATTCTTTTTTCAAATTTGAAGGGAAAATGGCCAGTTTCATATCAGAAAAGGAAGAGTTAATATCAAGTTTGATAAATCCCTGTGCACATTATTGCTTTAATTGTTGAATAAGCATATAACGTAATCTTTGTCAGTAAATGTAAATGTAGTCGACACGTGACACGGGACAGTTACACCTGGTATGTCAGGTAGCCAGTGACAAAAACATTAATATATATACTGAAAGAACCTTACATTGTCCTGAAAAAGAGGGAAAAAAAGGATAGAAATCAATATGGAATCCTTAATAAACTAATCATATCATGTAGAAATTGCAACAATGACATTCTAACAATGAAATTTGTGGAATCTCATAAGCTTCGCATTTTGATTTTTAAACAAATGTAGCATAATTTTTATATAAAATCACTTCAGACTGTCTTTGTTATCATTGTCTGAAAACGCTTGTTTTCTTCATTACAGTGGTTCAAAATTAACGAGGTCCCACTATGACAGAGCCTAGTTGTTCGATAAACGATTAGCTCAACCACAAGTTAATGTGAAGAAGCAGATCGTAGTCTTTACAAAAACACTGAAATTCATAATTAAAACTGCATATTGAGGGGTTCCCTTTGACTATCTGAAGACAAACATAAAAGAAAGATTTGCAAATTTCCAGACAGCTATAAAAAATCACTTTTTAAAAATTTCAATTACTTCAAAACTTCTCCAGTACAGTCATGTGCATGACAGAAAAACGTTCTAGTGTAACAGTTGGTGATGAAAGCTTGTAAACTTAAACCTTATCCTGTAAGAAAGTACAGTGAAATCTCACACCTTTGGGGACAGAACATATTGGTCAGATTTGACAGCATATTGGAATACACAGGTTTTACTGCGTAGTTTTCATTAGAAATGGCATTTAGGCATTGTCGGAATACTCAGAGGTCATATTAAACAGGATGTCAGAAAACAAAGGGGTCCGATTCAACAGAATGTCAGGAAATAAAGGGATAGGACTGAAAGGATAAAATATACTATTCTGAGATAGACTTTCTTTCATAGACCGTCTGATTCATATTCTGTGTGCAGTTTATGAAAATTGCTGTTGTTGGTATCTCTACCTTTCTTTAAAACACACATTGTTTTTTTAATTTCCAACGTAACAATTTTTGCAGTGCATGCATGAAATTTCAAACATGCAGGAAGTGTTTAAAATACCAACATGAGTACGTGTATTAGTTTTGAAGCGTGCAGTGTACATCAAATTAGGATAATGATATATGTTAGTTAACTTACAATGGGAATTTAGAACTAAAACAAAACAACAGGATCGAATAGAGAAAACTACACAAATACTATACTGATTTATTTCACCAATGTACCAAACCTCTAAAATTCTATTTTCCATCCCCCACTGTCTATATTTAAACTATTGGTAATAAGTACAATTTGTGATGATTGGTTGCATTATCGAAGAATATCTTCCAAAGCTTTCTGATTGATATTTGTATGTTCGTGTAGACAGCTATAAAATTTCTTACGAATAAAAGAAGAAAATATGACCAACTCAAAAAGAATTAGCGATGCAGTTTCTTCATTAGGGGATGAGTATAAGGTTTTTACTTATAGAACATTTTTTTATTTTTTTTTTGTAACTCATTTGTAAACAACGTGAAAAGATTGTCCAACCAACTTCAAGAAAACATTGAACACCAACATCTTTTTTTACCTGGACCTTTATATTTGATAGACCAACCGTCACTACACGAGGAACACTGAGTGGCACGGCTATTTTTGGTGGCAGAAGGAAACAGCCGTCCTTGCGGCTATTGGAGTTAGAGTCAGGACGGCCCCTGTTAAATTCTGTGTGCTCCTTTTCGAGGGAAGACTGTAGTCTGACAATGCTTGGGCTTGGAACTTGCTGAACGTCTTTTTGACGAAGACCGCTAGGGCTTACATGCATGGGATAGATGATTTCGTACTGAAGGAGCTCCATGAAGGGGAGTCTAAGGACGGACATTTGATCCAAGGAAGGGGTGGAGCTACTGCCCGAGGGGGAGGGACTGTTACTGGGAGTGGCGGCAATCTGCAGCAAGCCCGGGACAAGTATTTCCTGTTGACATAGACGTGGGGAAAAAGAGACACGAAGCGAGAAAGATTAGTGGCTTGTTGTAGTTATAAGACACACACACACAGTGCTAAAGATTAACACAAACCCTTAAAATTCTAATACCCGGATAGTATTTACGACTGTAATTGTAACCCTTAGGTCAGTCTGAACAAATTCTATTTTTTGAATATTCATAAATGTGTTAAAAATAATAATGCAGAAGTTTTGATAATATGTAAGATCATTTTCTTTTTTTGGTGTATTTTAAATTAGAAAGTCAAAAGTCAATAAAACTCGAAATGTTTAATCTTGATTTCAACAAAACAGAACCTAGGGTTCCTTTTTGGGCACTTATCAGAATTCTAAGGGTCTGCTTAAGGGAATTGATATTAAACTGTATCTACTGCATTGGCAGACATCAGCTGGAAGAGTAATAGTATTAGTATAGACACTTATACAGTCAAAACTGTTGTAAAGGCCATTTCTGGTAAGAGAAAATGCTGCAAGTAATTCTATTTTTCCAAAGAGATGATCAACTTGCAGTAAATTTAAAATCAAAAGCACAATTTTATGGAAAACAAGTATGGGTACTCAAAAAAATAAAAATAAAAAAAAAATGTTTTAACAAACTTATCATTTTAAGCAAAAACACTGAATAGTAACTTGTATAAAACGTAATTTTACACAGTACTGATATCAGACCATTCTCATCTCTCTCTTTCAGGTCATTTATGACAGTTTTGACTGCATTATAATCACTAGCTAGTATTACAGTGCTAGAAGGCCATCTGAAAGATAACGATAGGAAAAAGATAAGATAAAACAAAGCCGAGATTAATCAGGTCACATACAGAAATCGGACCACAATATCGTTTCGGAAAACATCTCCATTCTTGACATCTCATATTGACATAAAACTTGGGAAGTTGGGGGAAATGCCTGGATCTGGATTCCTTCAAATAAGTGACATAGTCTTTAAAATACTGAAAGGTTATAGTTATTATAATTTAGGTTTTTTCCCTGAAATTTTCCATCGTTCGCATTTGTATCTCAAGAAGATGCAAAAGACTATTTATAGAATACGTTGTCATAGTCTGTTGGTATTTATGTCATAATAAATACCAAATATCAACTAGAATCTCAAAAGCAGAACAATTTCTTCGGAACAGTTATTGTAATTTATGTCATAAATATGCCAAATACTGATTTGAATCTCAAGATTAGGCAAGATAAATTAGTAGGCATTTTTTTTTTTATCGTAATTTATAAAATAACTACAACAAAGATGCATTTGAATCTCATAATAAAGCAGGCAGTTAACCTAGGAAAAGCTATAATTTAAGTACATGAAACAATTTCTTAGGAAACAGTTATCATAATTTATGAAATAAATATACCAAGTATGCATATGAATTTCATGATAAAACAGGCCGTTAACTATAAGGAAATGCTTTAACTTTTGTCAAGTGTGGATTTGAATCCCAAGACAAAGGAAGACAACTTCTGTATGCGACTGTTAGGTAGCTGTATAGTATAGGTATATGTTAGTACAGGTCACAGCAGATTCAGGAGCAGGTGCTAGCTAGTCCGTGCACGTCCAACACCACACACTAAAATCTAATGTATCTGTACCGTGGTCGACAGGTATTTCATGTAATCGTCGCTGGTGACGGTACTTTTCCACCATTGAAGCCAAGAGGCGTATGTGCGCGCCATCTTTTCTGCTACAAATTTCGGCATGTTATCTCCCTGCAACATCTGCGACATCTTGCCGGGATTGTGCATGGCATCGTGAACACGTTCCATGTTCGGAGTCTAAAACCAACCCACAAATCATCTCAATGTTTGTTTTTTCATGTTCTGTTTTTCTCTGTTTATCGACAAAAAACAACAACTCTAGAATACAATTAAACCTGTAAAATCTGACATATACAAAATTATTTCTATCATATTTGTTACTGCAAAGGTTGCTTATAAACAAATTCTGAACACTTTGGTCGAAAATATACCAAGGTCAATGTTAAAATAAATGTTGTGAAATTAAAATGAAAAATCCTTTATACCTTCACATATCTTGGCTGTTTGTAAACAAAAACGTAGTGATATAGGGCTTATCCATTGAAAAATTATATGACCCCAGGTTTCAAAATAAATTATTTTTATCCATGGTTGGATTTCCCGTATACCATTTCTGTGCAAATAATTCGGTAAATTCTACTGAAAGTACTTCCAAACAAAATTAGAAGTTCTGGGATGGGATAGACGTTTCTACTGAAACACATAAACGTAAATTTCGCGTAAATATAATGAATCTGCGATATGAACTATATAAAATAATCCCCACTTCTCCCCATATGTCAGAAACTACAGGTTTTGTAGTACCTAGTCTCCATAACCAAACACGGTCACAGTAAAGAAGTTCTGAGTGATGATATTGAAAAAGTGTATGATATATCAGGACAATTTTTAGACCATTTTCCATAAATTAAACTCAAACATTTCCCTTTACCAAACACAATATTAGATTTTATGTCATATCAATGAATATTCATGACATAATGTTTCCATATGCATCAGTAAAATTAATGAATATTCATGAAAAAACATATCCACTCCCATACATCATTAAACACTGTCCTTTACCAATATTTTTTTTTCGTAATCAGCTTCAAGAATATTCATGACATAATCATTAAATGGAAAAAAATAATTAAGGAAGTACTGGTAAGTTTACCATTCGCAAAGTGAAAAAGACATTAAACAGGTTTAAAATTCTAAATATCAAAATAAAGATTTTCTAAGTAGTTATATTATTTTCACATCATATAGAAGTTCTTGTGTAATTTTTGAAAACTCAAACTTATTATATACAAAAATAGGGTATTTCATATATAACTGGAGGTTAACTGTTTAAACTAATAATAAAATATCATTCTGTATACTGCAAACATAGTTATTTTTGAGATAATCACAATCTAACCACTAAATGTAATTTTGTTGTTGTTGATATTTTCGTCTAAGTTAGCATGATTTTTTTTTTAATCAACTTCTAAAATCTTGCAATAATCTGAGTGGATTTTACTCATTTTAAGTGGTGATCCTGAAAAATAAGTATATCAACAAGGGCTTTGATTGTTTCAATAGTTTGACCAAAGTCTTATTTTATGAAATAGGGATGGATCTTGTTAATTGATGTTATTTTTGGCGAGCCTTAAAAAAAAAAGATTTAATAGGTCTGCAATATTATTTGCAGGCCTGCCAGTCTCATCCCTGAAAATGTAACATTTAAAACTAGATGCACTGGTCTGACCGCATAAATGAACACGTCAAAGGAATATCAAAGGGAAGTAATCTGTGTATGAAATTATTTCAATATGCCCATCATTCACTAGTGCTAAAATAAATATGTTCACAGTATACATCTGATTATAAACAAGTCACAGGTACAACAGTTTGACAAATTACAAACATGAAATTTCAAACAAGAACGATATTTTTGAAAACTCAGTTATAGTTAATAGGTTATTTTCCACAATTTATACACGATTAGAAACTGTTGTTTCAGAGAATTTCACAGAAACATAATTAGTTTCATATTATCACTGAATAGTGTTATATTACTCTGTCATACAACATTCCATGCACACAGACATACATCTAACCTCTAAAGCTGATCATACAGTAATCTAAAAGTTATGTATGCATATAGAAATGTACATACAAATGTTTCACAAAACTATCTATCTATCGAACGAAATTTAAATCATCAGGGGGTTTACAATTGATATTTTGAGAACTAGCCTGCAGACAGTTTTTGCAAACTCTTACTTGCCAAAGCAATGTACCGATTTTTTTTACAAGTCATGACATAAAATCTTTGAATAGCTATGGCTATTTTTTTCCCTTTCACCCCTATGTAACTTTAGTAGACCCTATCATGCATTGATATGGATGAGTCCATTATGGTATACAGTGGTGAAAGGGTTAGGCTAGTGGAAATGCACACCCCTGATTTATTATTTCACATATAGGAATAAAAAGTGTTGATTTTTTCCAATGAATATTTATGTGAAATTATGAAGAGCCATTCCCAATTTTATATGACTCTACATTTTCTTATAACTAAAATCTGCAAAAGAATAAGTATTATTATAAATTTGAACAACATCAATAATGAAAATTTTAGGTACAGTATATATGGGGTGAGTATTCATGCTCAACAAATTGTTACATTTTTCTTATCTACACACGTGTTCCTTACTTACTACGTTGCTAAGCCACTGTTTAGGCATCGGAGAAAACAAAAGTTGTGTCAATATTATATTGTTTGACAACAGTCTTTCTATTCTCCCTATAATGTAACTTATTTTCTTGTTAATCAATATTAAAACAAAAAATGCGGACATTTTGAAAGAAAAAAGGCTTATTGTAGAATTTCAAGACCCTGACCAAATTCAATTTCAGGAAATGCAATTAAAATTTGTATGGGTTTAGCAATACAGCTTTAAATATGGTAGGTATCATTTTCAATGGTTGGTGATTTTTTATCCTTGCCTTAAATAATGAAAACAGCAATAATACTGGATATAATTTAGTTGAGTAGTTCACAGTTTTGTACATTATCACATCAGTAAATTAAAAACAAATCAAAATGAATTATAGAGATATTTTCCTTAATTTGCAAAATTAATTTGTTCATAAATATTGAAGAATTTGAAACCGAGTACCGGTTGATAAATCGCAAAGTTAACAACAGGTAAAAAATCATCGTCTCTGTCGTATCCTGATATAATCACATTAAGGACTATAGAATGTATTTAAAGACTTGAGTAATTAATATATTAATAAATGAATAGCATAAAAAGCTATGGACAAACGATCATCGCTGAAATTATCTACCAGACATAACATTTTTTTTCAAATACTCAACACATTATCCAACAATGTGATTATATTTTTCAATGTTCGTCTTATATGTATAGAGAAATGAAATTTGCATAAGGAATTTAATAAATGACTCTTCAATGAAAACTTGTCTGATCAGTAATGTGAACAATTTCCGAGAATTTTTTTCAATTTATTTATACCACAAATCATGTTGGATACAGATTTTTATAATTCAAACTTACTGTTGGTTGGAAGATATCTTCTCCAAGGAAATTCTTAGGTGGATTGTTCGGACTGGAATATAGATAAAAAAATACAAATACTTGCTGTAGATGAAGTTTGACACAAATTTGAATACTTATCAATATTTAAAATTTATTGAACTTGAGTAAATTTGTCAAATTTTAAATAATGCAAATTATGAAATAACATTTGATTTAACTAAAATTTAATTAAAGACTGACATCTAGTTTAAAAACTAGTGAAAATTAAAAGCTGAATTTAGATGAAGTTACTATAAAAATTCAATTCAAAATTGAATGATGGCTTACGTCTTGACCCAGGTTTTGGGATCGTCGGCTCCCCACGGTGGCTGTTTTTCACTCCTCATTTTGGGGTTGATCACACGCTCCGCCTTTCGTTTGTTAAGCGATGCTGAGGCCATTGTACCCGACAGATTTACAGAATCGGCAGCTGGCACCACAAACACATCCTGTAATACACATGAGTTTGAATGAAACCTCTTCATTATGTTTTTTAACTCATTCACCCCTAAAATGTCATAATGGACTATTCCAACCTTTGCTTTGGAAGAGTTCAAATGTGTCTTCAGAGGAGAATGAGTTAATCGAGTTTCCCACACTTGGTGCAAAAGGAGGGTGGCTTTTTCAATATTTCTAAAATTTTGAAAAAAAAAAGAAATTAATCCAATGCATTCTATGTAGACATTTGGAGTTCAACTGCTTGCATAGAATTTTCAGAGACATGCATCTATTTGAGAAAGAGCTTGTTATCAGAATAATCGAAGCAGTATATCTTTGGTCCCACTACATGTAAAAGATAATTCTGTGGAGACTGGAATAACAGGTAATGTCTGTCAATGAGGACCTTTTCTTCAAAAGCGACTTCACATTGAGCACCCGAAAACCAAAAAAAAACAAATTATCTCTTACCATAATTTAACTTTATGAATTATCATATTTAGAAAACAAATAATTTCACTGGTGAAAACTTTAACTCAAACAAGAGTTGATAAATACAGAGAATCTTTTTTTTTTTTTTTTATTTGTTTATTTTCAAAGTATTTTTCACATTACAGTAACATATACATTTCATTATACATAATGAATTCCACTTTCACACATACTTTCATACTAATTAATATTGCTCTTTTTGTAAGTGGTATTTTATTTTATTGTAATGTTATATTAGAAAAGAAGGAAAATCAGAAAAGAGAAACAAGAAAACAAAGAAATAGAGGAAATAAAGATAGGTAAATGGACAGAAAGAAAGACAGACAGACAGACAGACNCCTAAATACATCAATCCAAAATAGATTTTTAGTTTTATTTTGACATTTTGAAATATAATCAGTTCCACAATTTGCCAGAATGTTTTTATCACAATATAATTTTAAGATCACTTGCCATTTACCAGAATTCATATATAACCTCCTAACCCACGTTAATTTTAACGAGTCAATAAACGACTGTACATGTAACATTTTAAGACCCCCTTTTACATAATCTTTAACAATGACATCTCTCTTAGCTTTATCTATTTTACTATTCCACAGAAAATTAAAAAGCTCTATATTTAATTTTTTAAGAAAACAATCATCTGGATTTGGTAAAGAGATAAAAAGGTGGTTGAATTGTGAAATTAATAATGATTTTATGATATGTATCCTACCAATAGGAGTCAACAATCTTCTTTTCCAGGTTTTAATCAAAGTTTTGAGTTTTACAAATTTCTTATCGTAATTCAATTTTGTTATCCTATGTAAATCTACAATACAGAGAATCTTGCCGCCCTTAGGTCAGAACTAAACATCTGTCTATAACTTACGTCGTCCAGTCTGAGATGTGTTGAGGGGACTGTTTTCATTATTTCCTTGTACACCTCTGTGATCTCCTCACCGAGGAACAGATTCTTGTCCAGATTCTTCACGGTGACGGGGTCAATCTAAGAATGTTTTATACAAAAATTCAATAATAAACAACTATTAAATCACTTTAAGCAGAAACAAATTGCCAAGGTAACCCCCACTGAGATGAGAACTGAATTGATTAGAATTGCAAATTGATGCAATTATAGTTGTCCTTTTATTTAAAAGATGAAAACATATAAAACATAACTTTCATAACAATGTGTTGTGATTATTGGACCAACCCTATACAGTAGTTCAGGTTTAAGCAGACAATTTACACATGAATTCAAGACTAGAATAACTATTAAAAAAATCAGTTCTTGCAACAAGAAACGTTCACCTTGATTTATCCATTTTTCCCCCTTTAAGTTGAATTAACTGGTACCTTTTTTAATACTACTTTCTCAAATAAAATAAAATTATTGCCAATCTGAACCAAATCTAAAAGAATACACTTCTTTCCTACCATTATCATCAACACTTTCCATCCCTCCTATTTGTTAAGTTTATTGTTTTGTTTACAGAAAATTGGTTTCTTACTTCGTCCATGAGGTCGTTGAAGACAGTTGAGAACCTGTCAATGGTGATTGAGGACATACAGACTCTCTCCGACACGCGGATGTCCGACGCTCTCACTGTCATCTACAATAAATACAAACATAAATACAAAATTCAAGCCATACTTTTGTTTATCACATATACTACATTTATAATGTTTTACATAATATTCCCACTATATCAATCAAACAGATTATAAACGCCATTTCTGATTGTTGATGTCATCATTAATGTGACATATCAATTGTTACATTGTCACTTAAGGATCCCTGTCCTACTGCACTCCAGTGTTTTGTATATTAATAGAATCTTACACCCCCTTGGGGGTGAGATAGGAGAATCTCAACCCGAGGGGAGGATTCTCAAGTTGCCAAACACGATGCTTTGCTGTGTGTTTGGCAACTAAAGAATCTTTCCCAGAGGGTTGAGATTCCACTATCTCACCCACAAGGGGGTGAATGATTCTTTTTCTCTTACCCTGTTCTTTCATTGTGTATCATATGCACAATGTAATGATAACGTTACATGCTAAATTCAGGGTTGACGTGACGTTGATGGATTGTTGACGTGACGTCATTGTATTGTTAAAGTGACGTCATGCCATTGTTAGGAATAGGGGAATCCCCCCGTCTCAACCCTAGGGTGAGACAAGGAAATCTCACACCGGTAAAAATGCGGATACACCTGTCCAGGGTAAGAGAAACAGTTATCTCCCCTTAACTTCCTTTTGGATATCCGTTGACTTAGGTAGAAGCTCTATCAGTTAGAGTCTGAAGTTCTGGGTTCAAATCCCGGTCTAGCCCTCAAATATTCATGATTTAAAATGGCTCTTGTAAATACACCAATTACCATTACATTAGAACAAATGTCTCAATTTTCAAATTTTTGGTCAAAGGTGATTAGTAGAATTGATAGCATTAGATAAGTTTTAGACCTCATACAACGTATTACTTGTGATTGAATATTGCCAGAACGAGGCTGTACATACCCCCGGTAGTTTGGCGCTGACGGTGGCAGGCTGAGGGTGAGTGGGCTCCCGCAGTGGTATACTGAAACACAGGACAAGATGACAAACAATAAAGAAACTTTATAAGCTCTATAAAGAAACTGATTTAAAACTTAATAGCAACGATATAAACTAATAAAAAGGAAAATTTAGACTTAAAACCCATGAAAAAAAGTTTGTCTTTGATATTTATTTTTTCTCACTTCAGGGTAGAAAACCTGAATGGATTGTTTAGTTTTCAGTTTCAAACCTTGTGTCAGTTTGAGAAGTACATAAATCCCCCCCTCCCCCCCCCCCCCTCCCCCCNTTCCCAAGTAAATGACAATGAGGTGAAGCATCAGACTACAGAACCGTTAGTTACAGTAATCTGTAACTGGTTAAATTAACAAGGATTTAAACTTCTGGCCATGAATTTTGGCATACTTACTTTTCTTTTTCGATTTCTCGTTTTTCTTTCTCTTCAAGTTCCTTTATCTTTTGCAGTACTTTCTCTTTCGTTCCGTCGTGTTTGGCACTTCTAGTCAGAGCCTAGATTACAAGTATATAACAAGTCAGCATATCATCTAGTTCAGCTGTAGTGTACTTCTATAACTATTATTTCCAAAGATTTTACAAATTAATAAAAAATTTGGGTTGGGTCGCAAAACAATAGCCTACATATCCTTTAACAGTGTTTATTCCTTATATCTCAGCCTTCTCTCTTCCTCTGAAATTTTAATTTCACATCGTAAAATTTATCGAACACAACGAATACAGATCTATTGAAATAATTCAATTGTTTCTTTTCCTTATTTAGAATGCTGTTTGTTATTGTAGGCAAAACGAATAAAATATTTTTTAAACCTGTAGAAAAATAAATTGTCTCACATGCAGAATTATGACAAAAAAGTAGCTTTTACAAAACTGCCATATTTTTTTTTATTAATTTGTAAAAGAGGAGAGAATCCCAAAAACTTGTACCTGTAACAGAGGAGGGAGATCCTCATCTATTTTGCCGACGTGTCTGTCCTGAGGCCGTGACATTAACTGTTTGAGGTCATTCTGGGCATACTCCCGTGTCCCAGGCTGGGGTCCCTTCTCTTCCAAAGGATGTTTTGCTTTCTGTATTAATAAAAAATAAAAATAGATACATCCATCAGTCACACTAAAATTATAGTCTTAGTCAAACATTCTCTTCAAAATTTTGGAAATTTACACAAACAAAAAATTGAAAATTTTATAAAATGAAAATAAAAATATATGCCTATCCATAATAGGAACACTAATTTTTTTAATTTTAGTCAAACATTCTCTTTAGTATTTCGGATATTAACGATTGGATACGTGTGAAGATTACCCTGTCGAGAGCCTCGTTGTTTCTCTTTAGCATGGCTATCTCCACCTCCTCCAGCTCATCACGGCGGACCGACTTGGCATCTATTCCCAACTCCTCTAGGATATCCTCACCAATCTGTAGCTGGGGCATTGACCTTGACCTCTGTTCATACAATGGTATGCAATAAGAAAATCTCATTTATTCAGAAATAATCAATATAGGAATATCTGTTAATACAATGTTAAGCAATCAGAAAATTTTGTATATTTATAACCATTCAATATGGTAATATATGTTAATACAATGTTAGGCAATAAGAAAATCGGATTTGTTCAGAAACATTCATTATAGTGAAACCTGACTTATCCGACATCCTATGGTACACAACATACTGTTCAGATTAGACAGGATGTTGAAATACAGATTTTTAAAGGTAATCGTCATTAGAAATTAAGATTTCAGAATACTCCGGGGTCGGATAAAATAGATTTTGTTGTACATTTAAAAACAAATTTCTCAGTGAAGGTGGTACATTTTAATACACTTCTTGTATTACTATTTTCGACAAAGAAAAATAGCGTCGACCACAATAAAATGAACTATCTTACCTTGAGTAATATTTTTTGAACTGATCGTGCCTCCAGTGAAAGTCTGGAAGGAAAACAATGAGACAAATAACAATGTGTTACAACGACACAAATAACAGTGTGTTCTTTGCTATCTTCATTACAATCTCTATCAACATATTTCTTTGATATTTTAACTCATTCACCACTGAAATTTCATAATGAACTACGGTATTCTACCCTTCAAATGTGTCTTCAGGGGTGAATGATCTAAGAGAATGTAAACTTTGCGAATAGTCCTAATCTGACACATGTGTCTGTTGCATCACAAAGAACTATAGTGTGTGGTCGCAAATCAAAGGTGACTGCATGGACAATGAGTCTTGTATGTGAAAATATGTCTGAAAACTTTGTCTCTGACATACCGTGACAATAGAGAAATTTCTGAACACGAGATTGGTTTATATAAGAAATGTTATCTGCTGTTTCCAATAATGATACTCCAGTGTTTGAACTTAATGGTAGACCCATAGACAATCACTGTGACCAACCTGTCTTTAAAGTCATACCTATGATCTATGATGTGTTTCATTCAATGATAAGTAACAGTAATGAGTGAAAAAGTCCTCTGTAAAATTAATTGTCCTCCTTTATTACACATTTTTCTTTATTTTGTTGTTGTTATTGAACACTAAATACATCAATAAAATGTTCTTGGTCAAGGTCTAGTCTAATATTCTGAATAAAATACATCAGTTTGGTATGAATATTAAAGGCTAAGTTTGTTTTAAACACAAACAGGAATTGAAAACTTATTCCGCAAGCTTTCGGAAACGTCTGTTTTCTTTGTCAAGCAAAGAGTGTAAATGTCTGATGTCTTGACTCTAAACCGCTGAAAACAGCTCACTAAGCCACAGTGTGCCGAATCAGTAAAGTCAGCTGCCAAAAATCATTGAGAATTTCACCCATTTACTATCTAATTCTGTGAAGGTCTGGTCTATCAAAACTTCAGTAGGTCTATAAGAGATTTATATCTCAATAGACCTATTCCGTCTTTGCGTATTGCAGAGTTATCTTCTCTTGGGAGCAGGTATTGATTGTTACGTCACTTATTTGTGAGAGTAACGTCATCAATTTTTGAGAAAACGACGTAATTTTCTTCCACAAACCAATGACGTAACAATCAATACCTGCTCCCAAGAGAAGATAACTCTGCAATACGCAAAGACGGAATTGTCTATGGTGTGTAAATCCTAAATTATATGGCTGAAACTCATCCAAATCTGGAACCCAGATTTCCAGAGAAACAAGTTCATTTCAGAATTAACATGGCGGACATCTTTTGCGATAACAAATGTCTTGAGTTTTCAATAAACTTGGGTAAACAAAATTTTACTGTATACATCTCATTGCTAAGAGATACCAGCAGACATTTAAGCCATCAAGTTAACTTCCAAAGTACAAATATTTTGTTACTTAAGTTGTTAGGGGTAAAATTGAATACTTACTCTGAAGTCATGTGCTGTTTGCCTGCTGCTCTAGACATGAAACCGTCAGATTCTGTAATCAAAATCCACTGATTAGAAATGCTCTCATCAACATATGTCCATACATATTAAACCTGACATCTTTTAGAACTTTTTTCTGTTAAATAGAATCTTAATTTAGATTCAAACAATGCATGAAATAAGTGCGTTTAGCCAAGCATGACTAAATGAACTTTAAGAGATCAGTAATGTATTGTATTATAAAGTGTTTGTAAAATATACTTAGTTTTTATCATGGCATATCAATGGTTAAATACAAATTAATCCATATTAGATACGTTTACATAGTAAAATGGTGTATTCATTGATTTCAAAGTACCAATATTGTCATTCATAGATTCCATGTTGTATCCATAGTAACCAAGATGACCATGATAAACATTTTTTAGTTCATTAATAGCATGTTGTATTCTGATTAGCATGTATCCATGACAACCATGCTGTAACCATGTTTTATCCATAACTTCCATGTTGCGTCTATGGTTCCAGTTTTGTAGCCTTGATAACAATGTTTTATTGTTTAATACTGTGTTGTTCCAATGGTAACCATGGTGTATCCCTAGTTACCTTGTGAAGGAGTCTGAAGATCCCTATCTGGCATGTCAGCCACCAGTCCCATCAGCTTGTTAGTGTCCAGTGCAGGCATTGCTGCCGAGATCTACATATCAAAAGTCAGAGGTCAATATTAAAACTGATAGACAATTTTCTGATTTTACAGGAAATGTGATTCCAATTGTCTTAATACATGTGCATGTAATAGCTAAATAATGTTACATGTTTTTTAGTGGTCAGCAGATTTAAGAGCTGTCCTTGGCCTCGTTACTGTAAACAATCTTGACTTCTTGAAACCCAATTAAAATGTTCATAGAGAAAATCATCAACCTAAAAACAGGGGTGTACACCTTCATATTCAGAGTACAGGTACTAGCTAACAGGTAGCCCTTTTTCACTAGCCTTGATGTTAAACCTCCTGGTCCCAGATTGTAGTGTAATGTTAAATATTAGAGATCATCTTCACCATAAAATTCACTAAAACAGTGAAGCGGAAAATACTACCTAGTATTTCATTAACTGTATCCTACTCATACAGATAGGATAGAAAACATGTTTTCGCACCTCAGAAAGAGATATCCCACGTCATACCCCATGCTAGATTTTCTATCTCGTCCGATCTGTCTTGTACCTTTATGTGACATTTCGCGTAATTTTTACACTACGATGTATTCATCCGCGCGTTAACTGCTTGAAATCGACAATTTGCATTATAAATGTTCTGTTTTGTCGTTATTGTATAGTTTTGATGTTTTTAGATATTTGATGTTGTAGATAAAATATAATCTACACGGTGAGGACAGACTACGTTTTTAGGCGGAAGCATTCAAATGTAGCTTAAGTAGTGAAGAGGTCATCATCATGAGGCCCAAGGCGGGATACTTGTAGTTTTTAGCAAAATTGGATAGTTTTTTCGAAATAAAAGGTGCAAGAAAAATCTTTCTCTCGGGCTAAGATTCTGTAACATCCCACCCTTGGCTTACGCCTAGGTTGGGATTTTGTTACAGAATCTTAAACCTCGACTGAGATAACCCGATCTCGCTCAGTTACAGGTAATAGATTTTATTAATGTATTGATTAGGGATTATGAAGACTGTACCTCCTTTGCTTCCTGCTCAGCAGTCTTGTACCGGTACTTCTTCGTCTTAGACTTTGGCCGGCTACTCTGGATCTATAGAACAGAAATGTTATTATTAGAACATGAAGTAAACATCTTGGTCTGAATGCTAATAGGTCAAGACAAAGAAATTTTCCAAGAAAGCAAGTAATTGTCCAAGGATCGTTTCAATATGAAGAAAATGGTGAGGAAATCACTCAAACATCAAAGTTAATGTATACTGCCCATTGCTTTAGCATTCACTCCTGACAAATCTGATCAATACACTGTGGTATATATAAAAAGGCAGATTTATCCAATGAGTCAAGAAAACTCTGCCATCTCAAGAGGTACTTGCATAGCACTTTGGCAATTGTAGTTGACACAGTATATGAGATATGCCCTAGACAAACTGACACAAGGTGAACAAAGGGCCATAACTCCATACATAGTTGGGCATGAAATCTGATTTTAATGTTTAACACTCCATCATCCCCAGAGGTACCCTGAGATAAAAATTTGGCAATTGTAGGTGATGCGTTACACGAGTCATACCTCAGGTAAATTGATGCATGAAGAATGAAGGCCACCACTCGGTATATAGTGGACCAAGAGATTGGAATTTAATATGTGACAATCTTACATCTCAGTAAGTATTTACCGGTACACACAAAAGGCAATTGTGGGTGAAGAGTATGAGATATGTCCTCAACACAGTGACACCCTGACAGACACTGATGTATGTTATACAAACTTCCTATCTTTAGAGTCAGGGGACTAAAAAGCTGATAACACGATGTACTCACCATTCCCTGGAATGACAGAGGTGGGTGGCTTATTTCTTGTTTCCCGGAAAACTTGGCCGTGAACGTATCTGTGTCATCTCCGTCGGAGTCTTCCTTCCCTCGGATATCAGCGACAATGTACCGTCGAATTGTCAAGATGTTTAAACTGAAGAAAACAAAACTAAACATGCACACAATCCTTCCCCCAAGAACACAGGTAAGTTAACAAAGTCTGTTTGAGACTGGCTGTTAAATATTCCAGTTACTTATATACATGTACAGACAGGCAGACAAATGGGGTGTACCCAAACATAGCAACCAAAACACATTTGTAAGAACAAATATCTGTTCTTTTTCATTTGATGAGTTGTATAATATAAGAGCAAAATGAGTTACTTTAAAAACAAGTTCCTTTCCAAGCTTAGAATACAATCACTTTGCACACTATCAGAGTCAAGTCTGTTTGGAAACTTACAATTTATTAGCATCCAAAGCCAGCTGTGCTTTCAGTCGACTCATGTTGGCCGGCCCGCTGAATATCCCCCGTTCATTCAACACTGTGAAAAATAGGATAGAATATTAAAGTTAATATAACTATGCAAAGACATATTTTGTGGGGTCCTCCACATTTCATTTACTTCATTTCCTATAAATAAGGTCCCAAGGCTAACCAGACATGCTCTAGCTAGTCAAGCGTAAAACATGATTCCGAACCTGAACAAAACTTTATTACGTACAACAGTCAAAGCTTATAATGTTATCATCGTGAAGACCAGGACAAAATTTGAGGTAAATACCAACAAGTATCAACTGCCAATATTGGACCAAAAGCTCATCTTCCAAGATAAATTGTAAACCTGAGATATCCACGTTTGAAACAATGAAGAATAAGTATATATCACATATTTGTAAAAAAAAATTATGAAAAATACTGCTTAGCATTTTGAAACCCTGCTTTCTTTTTGCTTGTTGCATATGTAAATTGAGTCCCCTAGGGTTGAAATTTTAATCTGATATCACTAGTTTGATTTTAATATATATTACCTTGTGCCTTTTTTAAGTAGTGATTGAACAGTTTCTCACACACAGTAACTATATGTACAGCTATTCGGCGATTGAGTTCTTTATTTTCCAAGGGAGACTGAAAATGAAAAAAAAAAAATCATTTTTCTATATCTTACACAACAATTTATCGGTCCATCGCCATTCCAATGAAATTGAAAATTAAGAACAGGAAGTTACTCTTTGAGCGTATTACTTACCAGGAAGGGGTCATCAATCTGCTTCATGATTTCAGGCCAGATCAGCGTTACTTCTCCGATTAAAATTCCAGCCTTAAAATGATAAAATACAATTTGTTCCTATATTAGGGTAAATTTTATAAAATATTGTTTTAATGTAGCCAACCAGTGTGAATTTTATAATGAATACTAACAAATATGAAAACTTAGTACACTTGATACATTTAATGTCCTGGTTTGAGGGAGATACAAAAAATTGTTAACCTGAGGTATTTTCCTTGGCTTTAATAAACAGAAAATGCAGACTGTATTGCCAACAGAAAAAATATATTACAGTTAAAAGAAACAGATACAGATACATCAATAAACTCTTTATTCGGCTGATAATTTCTACCCACCAGATTCCTTTGATCATCCATTGACAGATATGGTACATCTGGCTTGGCAGCAATCCGACGCCTCACATAGTTGGCGAGTCTGTCAAAATCTCTGGGCTGAGTCTTGACTTCCTCCTATAGATGAAATAACAACACTTTTTAACATTATGAACCATGAAGAGCAATACATATAAGCAAAATCATATGATCTATGAAAAATAAATACCAGTTACAAATTCCTGTATTCAGGAAAAAATCAATAATTACAGTCAACCTCCATATACTGCCACTACTTGTTCACTAAAAATGGCATAATAAAGGGGTTTGGCATTATATAGAAAAACAACACAAATATAAAGGAATTGATAAGAAAGGCGGAAAAGGGACACTGAAATAACCGATGGTAATAAGTGAAGTGGAAAATGGAATCATAGATATGATATTGAGTTTTTACTGTAGTTCAGCGTAAACTGTTGAAATCACTGGTCAATATGAAACAAAAAGGAAAAAATCCATTGGAATTTTCAAACAAATGAACCCTGGCTGTATTCCAACTGGATATATATATAACTCACATCAATGGGAGTGACTGGTCTCTCAAGCTCCAGTGATTTATGGCTTCTATCATCAGCAACTGGAGCTGAAAGTGAAAGAGCACTGACATTATCATATGTAATAAAAAGAATGTACATGTAATATATAAAGAGAGCTTTCAGTTGACCTTACAATTACAGAAGTCAAATAATTACCCACTTTAATATGAGGTGTCAAAAAAAAACCTTGTCAAATTGACATGTCCTTTCAAACACAAGAGTTAATACCAGACAAAAAAAATTGTGTTTCCTATAACATGTTGTAAAATTCTGGGTAAGTAGGTAAGCAATTTTCTTTCAACAAATAATTGTATAGGGTTTATATAGGAGAGTGATCTTGACTTTAACAGTGCTTCTTTGATAATTAATTGCCTTAAAAAGTTTAGGGTAGGCACAAAAAATTAGGGAAGGTAGGGTTACCAGAAACACCACATATTTTTGGTTTGGCCTAAAGCCTCTGTAGGGGAAGGTTTTCTGAAAACCCTGATAGATGATAAAAAAGTGTGATAACGCAGACCAAAGTCCATCTTTGCTGTAAAAGACATAATGTAACAGACACAGAGTAAACCTCCTTCACACCCTTGATACATACGTTCTCTGTGGTCCTCGTGGGGGTACGGAGCGAAGAGTGACAGTGGTTCCAACACATTGGTGATCCTTGTTTCCACATCGTTCTGTGATAAAAGTTCAAAACGTCATAAAAAGTTTTTATTTCTGTAGACACCATTTCAAATAAAGTAATTAAGTCAATCATAATGTTCAACAAAATTGACATTCATAATTGACAACGTGCAATTATCCTATATTACAGTCAGGGACAAGATTCTTAGTCCAATTTATGTTTTGGATAAATTTTTGGCGAATTTACTGAGGAATTTTCAACATTAAATGGGGATCTTGACTTTATATTATGAAATTGAAAGCTTTTAATAAATTGGTCTAATCTATATTTCCTAATTATGACAAATCTTTTACAATTTCAATTATTTTATTTACCAAATAAAGCTTTTAAATGCATAGAATATGAAAATTATCAAAAAGTAATGTTTATTTTTATTCTAGCAGAAGAGAATTTTAAGAGATGGGGATTTCTTTATCTTCCAGGGAATATTTGCTCATAAATAGAAAAGAGTTTGGTCTAGATTTGTCTTTAAGATATCAATGGTAGTTTTCATTACTGTAGAAAAGAAGAATGAAGTTATAAACCAGTTTGTTGTCTTAGAAATTCTATAAAAACTACAAAATAAAAATGTTATGGGTGTAATCAGGATTATACTAACATGCGTGTAGTTTGGCCATTTTTCTGGATACATTTCATCTGCTTTTTCTGGTCTGACTGGCTGTCTGTGTTGATATTTCGGAACCCTGGGCTCTGACTCCGTCATGAAGCCCTTGAAATGCACCGACTTTGTTCCCGCCGGCATTTTGTGCCTGTAAATTAAAAAGATCATTATGGACACATCATGTATAACTGCAAAGGTATTGAAAATGCAACAGGGCCCCCTGGACCTCCAAACTGGAGACAGACTTTCTAACCAATGTAGCTACCTTATCAACAAGTCATACTGCTCAGTCCTTCATCACTCACCCCTTATTTTTTTAAGTCTTATTCACCTCCAAAGATGACACTATTTACAATCCATGTTTGGGTAGCCCCTTGCTAAGGCCTAGGGTCGACCGATGGTCAAAAGTACCATCTTAATAGTAGAGGAGAACCACAAGGTGGCAAGATGTGGATTAATACCCATGATCTCGAAACTCTAGACAATGGATTTGATTCCCTGCTTGATTGTATACAGGTGCGGGATCATCTGTCTGACCAGTGATCATGTGGGTTTACTTAGGGTATTTTTTATTGGTTTTGTCCCACATTAACACATTATTGGGTAATGATAAAGAACAACTATGTTTAAAATATTCTTTCTTTGGTCATGGATTGGTGTCAGTCAGATGTGTTGGATACACAAATATAATGTGTATAAGGTGACAGTACCCAAATCAGATCACCAAACCATCATTTTATTAAATCACTGAAAAGTCTTGAGGAGTAATTATATTTATTTATGGTTGTATCAAAAGAAGGTTATCAATGGGTGTTCTTACAATCGAAATTGGCACCCGGGGCTCACTTGAGATATTTATAGAACACTCTGAAGTCACCAATCAGCGTCTCCGGTTTTTGCGAATGTCGGTACCCAAATCAGATCAAGGCTTGAATTTTGCAGTATCTAACGCTTCAAATGAATATTTTTTTGTCAGCATATTAACATTTTATGATGACCTTTAGAATTTATATGTAAAAAAGTATTTCTATAGTGTGAATTTATTCTTATAGTCCAAAACTTAATGCATAGTCATTGCATGCACCATTTTTTAAAAACGTCACCAAAAAACTGACATTTGAGTTTGAATTAATACGTTTTCTTGTGCTATTTGAACTTTAGTTTAAATCAAATCATCTGTAGACAAAAAATGGTGCATGGCTATCTATTCTAAGATTAAATCATTGATATAACTGATTTGCTGACACATTTATTGATTTATAAGTATTTTTGCAAAAAGTGATCCAATTTGGGTACTGCCACCTTATATATTGTGTCCAGTCAGTGTGCACAAGTGGTGATCAAAATCAGAAATATTTGATCGCTAACGTCACGTACTGTACCCAAAACGGGACACTTGTGGGAAAAAAACCCAAAAACTGTCATTAAGTGATACTTAGATGACAATTCAACGGTATATGGGCTTAATTGGCTACTGAATGTCGTTACATGGACAATTTAAAGGCAAGAATAATATGCCAAAACAAAACTTCCGTGATTCCGTGCGACGCTATTCCAAAAACAACCATACGACCTTCAGTCGCGTTTGGTTACTAAAGCATTTTAAATCTCACCATATCTTATTTATTTAACCATTTTGTTTATGAACGACGGCATTTGCAGTGACAAAACGTGTGGATATTGATTTACGAGCAAATTAACTTTTTCTTTACGAAAAGACAATATCGGCCATGTTTGTTTACTTCAGCTTCGCGACATGACTCGGTTTCCACTATTTGTGTTCAGTCATTCATTTCTCATTAGAGACATCTACGTACCTTTGATTAATTTTCAAGCTATGTGAAATGTTGCATGGTTATCATTGTATATCATTGTCGTATATTTCAATTACGAAGCGAAGTGAACGTTATTTCCTTGTAATTTCACATTTTTGTTGCTATGCGCTCTAATGACCCGGACGCTGCGAAATCACATTCACAAGAACGTTTGTCGGAAACGGGAAAGAGATTTTGAGAAAATTTCCCAATGCCACACGTGAACGTGACATCTGAATGATAACCAACTCATTTAGCAACTTCAGGTAAAGTGTTCAATACTATTTGTTAAACCTTCGAATACACGACGTTTCATCAATAACTAAAAGACAGGATTGTCAGCACTTTGTAAGTTTCTAGATTGACTGTAGTGTTGGAGAAGTGTGCGCAATTAGCACGCAAATAAATAAATATTGCCAGGTCTACCTTTATATTTGACCTGGGAAATGGACATACATGAATTTCTTTGTGCATAAGTTTTATTTGTGTGAAATTATTTAGGTTGATAAATTTCAATGAAACAAGAAATTTAGAAATTTTATTATTTAAAGGGAGATAACTACTGAGACTATACACCTCTCAACACCATAAAAAGTAAAACTGTCATTAATGTTCTTAAGGATCCCCGTACCACTGAAAAAAATGTAAATATGCATTGGGGTACATTCGTGTATCCGGTTGAAACAGTTGAACCTGTAAAGAAAACGACAGGTACAGATCTGAACCGAGGCTGACCTCAGGAAAATTCGGTACCTGTAGATTGAGGGGTCCAGACGTACCTGACTGAAACTAAAATGCTGACTATTACCAGTTTGCATTATTTCTTTCTTAAACAATGTTAAGCAAAATGTAGCTTTTAAGATACGTTATGTAATTCAGTGGACGCGTGAGAGAAGGGCATAATATTCTTGATACATTGTTTTTTATTCTCCGAAACTGTGCATTTTTAGCTCTGCTTAAAGAACGGTTCAAGTGCGTTCATTAATTGTGGAATATTTCTGTGCCACACATACTGTTTCAACCGGGATACGCCAATGTAGATTTTTCCAGCATGATTGTAACTTTTCGATAGACTATTTTTAGTGTAGGTTTTTACCAGAAATCCTTGGTACGGGCTAGGAGAAAAAGTAAGAGTCGATCATTCAATGCAGGTAAAGGAACTACGAACATTCTACCTTCAGCAAAGTCTTAGTTCCAGGACCTGTATGCAATATAAAAACGATGGGACTCTCTATCTTAAGGATCCCTGCCCCGCTAGAGATGCAATATAAAAACGATGGGACTCTCTATCTTAAGGATCCCTGCCCCGCTAGAGATTTCAGCTGTTGTTTTCATATATATAGTAACCTCCCTTTAATTACGTTTTGGATATTGCTGTAGTACAGTTGGATCTTTATAATTTATGGAAGTGTTAAATGGAAAAAAAAAATTATGTACAAGAGTGTTCTGTTTTGCTATCAAATCGGAAGAATATGTACCACCCAAAATGTAGTCAGTTAATATCTGAAAATAACAAAAATATGAGAGAGAAAAAAATTGATTAGCCTGAAACTTTTGATACTGCTTTAATTTAAAGTGTAGCATTGGTATTGTATGTCATATTTTTTCACTATTCCCAAATATGTCTTTAAACTTTATTTATTGTAACATTCGAAATTTTAGTGTAGATTTTTACCAGAAATCCTTGGTAAGGCAAAAGTAAGAGTCAATCATTATGCAGGTAAAGGAACTACCAGCATTCTACCTCCAGCAAAGTCTTAGTTCAAGGACCTGTTTGCAGTATAAAAATGATGGGACTTTCTACCTTAACTCATTCACCCCTGAAATTTCATAATGAACTATTCCAACCTTTGAATTGGAAGAGTTCAAATGTGTCTTCAGGGGTGAATGAGTTAAGGATCCCTGTCCCACTGGAGAATACACTAACCTTCCCTTAATTTGGTATTCCATATTACTGTTGTGCAATTGGGCCAGACCACTTCCATTGATAAGGTAGCTCAGTGGGTTTGATTGACAGTATAAGAATCTGAAGTCAAGACTTTAAATCGTGATGTAGCATCAATTACCTTTTACACTTGCAACACCAATGACAGTTATAGATTATTTATTTCATCTTCGTTATTTTTCGTAAAAGTCCCACATAGTATGGTTATCTTTGATGAATGATTTGTCAAAGCTAAAGTGATGCGATCTTAGATATCCAGGGGTTACGCTCACTGACGCTCTCTGCACCCCTGGAATATGTCATAGCAACATTGATGACACAAAGACAGCTGTTTGATTGGTCTCAGGTAAAAGAAACACCTGACCAAATGCTAGGCTGATACCTGTCCTTTGAAGATTACAGAGGGGCTACACCCAGCTTCAAAATCAGCCATTAGCGACCGCAAGATTCTTTTGATGTACATCAAAGGAGCGAACTACATCTAGTCTTCTTGTCTCATCAACAAGGTGGCACACACTGAGCCTTCAATTTTGTCATGACATATTCCAGGGGTGTAGAGAGCGTAAGTGAGCATAACCCCTGGATATCGCGTAACCCCTGGATATCGCGGATGTAGTGATGCCAAAACAGTTCCCAATGCACTGTCACAGTTACTCATCCTTCATTCTTTACATCCTTGATCAATTAAGCTTTTTCCATGTTGACAAGATGGTTTTGGTGTCCTCAGATGACATGTGTTTATATATTTCACTTCAATTCTTCTGTGGTTTTTATTCTATTCAATTCAATCACTTCAAACTTTATTCAAATTTACTTAGAGCAGTTGAATAAAAAAGATGTCTGAGTCAAATTTTCTGTTTCACTTTAACAAAAAGTGTAGAAGTCCTTATGGATATTATGCAAAACATTATAAGATCCATTCTTCTGCCATGTCTGAAACTAAAATTTTATTTGAACCGAATGATAAGTTTTTAGTTTCACCTGTGTATAGATTTCTTACCTCGGTCTCCGGTAGGTTGTCACTCGTTTGTGTACCATGGCGACTTGTTTTTTCACTCAACTGCTAAATCCAAACTCTGATTTTGTTTTAAATCATCTGCATTAATTCCTAAACTCATGTATAGAAATGTCGTAGGAAATCTTCCTGTTTTTTGTGGAAACACAAATATTATGCATCATTTCTCGTCAGCTGTCGTAAGTTAGTTCGAGCTACTGACGACTACATTGTGTTTTTCGGCAGAATGAGAAAAATTTGTAAGCATGGTATAGTGTTATGTTATGTGTATATGCCTTTTGAAATACAATAGTAATGCTTTAACGTTTGTCAAATCTATCAACCGATCTAGTTTGATGTGTTCTGACGAGATTACCTTTATGCGACAGACAATGCATTATCAGCCGATCTTTTGTCAGCTATAGTCGTCACAAGAATTTAAAGTGACTATCAAATTTAGCACTTCAACTACCTGTACTAGCCAGTCTAACGGTATCAAATAGATTTGGATTATTAACCATAAAGGGAGGTAAGTCATGTCTTTTAACGTCAAGAGAAGTCTGAAGATTTTATCGACGAAAAAAAATATATACCAAAGTTTCAATGTACTAGCTGTAGACTATTATACTTGAAGTTTAAGTGTTTTATGGTACTCACTAGGTAGGATACGAACGCACAATGTTCTCTAGTATGAGTTTGTTGGATCTACTTATGTCATTAGCAGGTCATCTGGACTGGTAGATTCCTATCCATACCCAAGCACAAAAAAAAATCTAGGCTGACCTGGTACTGGATTCCCCACCCTACCCAAAATATTTTATTACTTAAAATATATAATTATCTGGTATATCTGAGAATTGATTATATTTTTGTTCTCCTTTTTTTAAATGATCTTCTTAAGTCAAGAGTTTATGGGATCAGAACTAGGACTTCTTTAATTCCAACAGTGGGATATACAGTTATTAACAGGCACAGTTTTATTGATAAAACGGTAGCTGTTAATCTGCCTGAAATATTGAACAAAGTGTATTTGGCTGTTATGTGTAGATGCTGGATTGAAATTGAGTTCACAATTTCAGTCAGGGACTCTGGAGAAACATTACTCCAGTCTGCAGTCAAAATATACCACATTTTAGTCCTGTGAAAGACTGCTCTCAGTAAATAGCACCTTGACAAGGCCACAATGATATCGTATCATAATTATATTATGGCACATTTCAGCTAAGCAGATGAAACAGAAATGACTTTTCTCCAAACTGTTTTTTTAATGACCGTTTAAGATGAGAAATAGGAAGATAGATTGTCTTTTATATATGGTTAGGGACTCTAAATGGAAAAGAAAATGCTGCAGAATCTTGAGTTATATTCCAATTATAAGCCAACTCCCCTCCCCCTCCTCCATTCCCAAATGGATTAGATCTCTCCTTTATACCTAGATCTTAAAGAATGTCAATAATGTTTACAAAATTTATACAGGAATTTATTTGATCAAATTTGATGTTGCCTTTGGAGAGAAAAAAACCCATTCTCTAATTCTGTACATTTCTTTTAGATTTCTTTTTTAATTGCATTTTCAAGCAGAATTTTAACGCCTATAAGATATTTTTAAAGGACATTCATAAAAGACTTTTGGAGGCTGATTTTTCAGAAACAGATGGAAAATATTCCATGAATGCTGTTACAGAAGGATTTCTGTTTTTACGTAAACCCCCTCCGTGCTACCATCTTGGCCAACATGACTGATAAATCTACATAGCTTGTTCAATAATTGTTGTAAAATATATATAAAAAAAATAAGTGGTCTGACATACTAGCAAGACCTTATCAATAAACGGCGACGGGACTGACAATCACAACAGCAATTATTGACAATAGTTTATATCAGAGTTTTTTGTTTTGACTTTTACTTACATAAACATTAATTTCATTTCAAATTAAAATTTTATTCTCTTGACATAACGTGACTTACCATCTTGATAATGATACATGGATCCTGGTACTGTTATAATGGCTTAACACATGGAAGGGTAAGGGCAGATGAATTTAATTTTCAGAAGATAACTCACTTGTGTCACGAAATGTGTATCACTCGATTCAATACAAAGTTAGACAGATTATTCACAATTATTTGAAACTTGATGTGCATTTCTTGTAGGCTTGATGTCAATTTCTGGCAATATCTAATCCTTGTCACTATGTTTCAGACTTCTGAAATCTACATGTTTCAGATATCTAATAATTGTCTCAAAATACACTTATGTAAATGGTATTGACATACATTGAATTATGATAGATTGTTCATCTTGGTTGGCTGTGAGCTTTTTTAAAATAACACTACTCCTCGTCATTTTAAATTTCATATGTTTAAATGAAATAATGGTTGACCATTACCTTCTCCAGAGTATAACTACAGGATTTACCCTGCCCAGGGGGTCAACACATGATTTCCTTACTAAAATTAGGGGATGGGCGTAGTCTTATTACAGGACAATGAAATACAATTTGTAGACATTTCCACTGAACTGCGATATATATTATAATCAGGTGGGCTTGTTATCAGGCATGGATGTGTTGCTGGTTAGATATGGTAGTCCTGATCAGTTTATGTTATATGGCTATGTGAATTAGTGGTACATTATGGCCTTCTTAAAATTCACTAGTGCTCATATCACTGTATTTTATAAGAGCGCCTTTGGCGTAGCTCTTAAATGGTAACACATGCGTGCGTAAACAGAGTTGCTTCCCCTTTTTACACATTGCCTTTCATTTTTTTCGTCCGTAAGAAGGCGTCCAGTGGGGAAAACTGGAAGAGTATCCTGGAAGCAAAGACACTTGTTTTTCAACTTTTATCATCCGTGCTAGGAAATAGAATATAAACGTAAACATAGTTGTTGTTATATTTCTACACTATACATTCTGAGTGAAAAAAGTCCATCACATAAAATGCGATACTAACATGCATTCTTTTAGTCAATGCTTTCAGAACTTTTTTTATTTCTGTTTTTGCCACAGGCATAAAAAGTAGAAAGGTGGATATTTTCAAAAGATTCTTTTTGTCATCAACCAGGTTCTGTTAATATTTCTACCATGAGATATCTTCTAAAAGAGCCGGCATTAAACCAATGCCTATGTGTACATTTATTTGTTCATCGTCTAAAATTTCATCAGCTTTTGAATACCAATTGTTGAGAATATGAACGAAATCACTAACATATTTGATGTCTTGTTAGAGTCTTTACATAATGTATTTATACATCACCACTCATAAAAGAAACAATTGATAATGCATTTATGTTGAAATCAACAATGATTTTCCAGACCAACAACACGAGTTTAACGCCCTTTTTCAGTAACGTATTACTGTTTTACACTGCACGCCAATTTAAAACTTGTGTCAGGCAGAAACTGTTTAATTTTATTTGGCATCCTTACCTGTCAAACCTCTTTGACTGTAACAAAATTTGAAATTCAACCTGTGTTTTATTCTTATTCCTCGACTTGTCGACTTTAAATGAAGCTTATCTTATCTCATTCTGAAATCAGTATTATCTCGCTCTGAATCGGTAAATATTAGAGATCAACAAAAGCAAAGCTCTTTTTAGGCTTTGCCTTTTCATATTATGTCTAGATGATGGACGGTGGCCGTCTCTGTTATACATACCTGAGTAAATTACACTTAAAATATATAAAGAACAGAAGATGGGGTACATTTAGGTAGTCATGATATTATTACTTCCGTCTGCTCTTCATGAAATATATTGCTTGTCCGGATGTTATTGACTGGCGATGTTATTCATTCTGTGCAAAACAGATACCAAACAGTCCAATAGACAATCTCCTTTGTTTATATACTTGTTTTAATGTTTTCAAAAATCCCATTCATTAAAAGATTTTTTTTTATTATTAGTCTGAATATGAATGTCTTTTTGACTATTGTGATCGTAAGACAAGAGATTCCTTTTGTTTGGAGGTGTTTGGAAAGGTCACGGTCACAGTGAGGCCAAACTTGTTCCGGTACATGTATATAGTTATGCACTAAAACTGTTTATATACCAGTACACTTTATTATTGTATCACAGGGACTTTAAATTCATGTGCAGAAGTGAACATATAGGGATTGAACGACATTTTTTAAATTTTCATGCCGATATGAATGCAAATCGGTTACATCCATTTTACATTTTCATTTGTTCTTAAATAATTAATTTATTTACTGCGTTTAATTTATGCATCATCCTTTAAACGACATTGGTGAAACAGCCCTATTGTAATCAAATTGGCGCCAATAATTAACCATAGTCTTTTGAATTTGAGTGTTTGACATGTGGACATTCTCCATGTTAACCGCAGCGCAGCGACAATACTCTCATTGAACAAGGTTAATCCATGACGTCATAAATAAACCATGTGTAAGGTCACGAGAGTTTTTGCTTTCACACTCAAATGAAATGCATTTCTGCTGGTAATGTTCATATAGTGGGTTGCAGCGCAAATGTAAATATATAGTCAATGATGTGCTACTGACTCAGCAAGGGTGAATTTCCGATGAACTTAATTGGTAAAGCACTTGACTACTAATTTGTAGTCTTGGGTGCGACTCCTTTTTAGAGTTTTTTGGAAAAAGTGACTGTGGTTCTATTGCTCCCTGGTAGTCCAAGTTTCTCCTGACCCTGACACCAGACTTAGACATTTTGACACCAGACATCTATCTGTCAAAAGGTCTAAAGTCTGGTGTCAGGGCCAGAGGAAAATCGGCTAGGGACCTGGATACAGTGTACAATAATGTCTTTCACCATATCCTCACAGGCAAGTAGTTGTACTCTATAAGACACGAGGATAAAGTCTTTCTGTGGACGGGGTGTATGACACGATGGTGAACTATCTCTAGCCTCTTGTGACCCACTCAGCTAGGGTAATCTCCATTCAGCTCCAATGGTACAGTACTAGACTTGTAGACTGTAATCCTAGGTTCGACTCCAAGGTGGAGACAATTTGAAAAAAGTGACCTTGATAGCACTTGAATTTTATGAGTTTAAACATTTTAAGTTGTTTTACTCAAAGCTGGACTCAAATAAAATTTCAGTTACTAAATTCGACTTCGACACTGCAAATCAATTGTGGTTTGTGAAATTTTAACATATATTTCGGAGGGGACTACTTCATGGATTTTTTTTTTTTTTGTGAACATTAATTCAATAGATAATTGCTACAAATATAAACATCCTCTTACACTGTACTATAATTTTGAATTAAAATATTAACAATGAAAACCTTTGAAAGACTTAGTTTGTAAAATAAAGTACATGCAAGTACATTGATTTATGGTTAACAACAATTGTATTCAGAAATAGAATGATATATCCAATTGTTTCCTATTAATATTCTTTTTGGTCATTACAGCTGTATCTGGTGGGAATGAGGCCCATAGGGGTAGTGAGCTCGCTGTTCACCTACAAAAATGGAACCCCTCGTCAACCGTCTGTCTGTGACACAGCACGCGGCAGCATCACCATCAGTAAAGATGTCTTTAACACACCTGAGCACTCCTTAGATGGCATCCAACAGTACTCCCATATTTGGTAAGGTCAGAGGTGAAATTTCATATTCTTAGTAAGGGCAAAGTTGAAATACAAAATGTACTGAACAGCACACCATATTTAGTAAGGGCAAAGTTGAAATGCTGAACAGCACAATATATTTGCTGAGTGGTTAAGTTCTAATATAAGTTTAACAATGTCAAAGGTGAAGTACTCAACAGAACAAGTTTGGTAAATGTCGAAGTCAGACACCACATTTGGTAATATAAGGTTAAAGTACAAATAAATGTTCACTTTTGACAGACAGATGTCTGGTGTCAGGGCCAGAAGAAACTCGGGCTAGTATCCATGCCTAGGTAAATTACATTCCTATCAAGATCATAGGTATGTGGCGAATTCAAAGGAGACGTACTCCTTTAATTATTTCACTATTGATGTATCAAAATCCTTTTTTTTTTTCCCGCTAATCCTTTGTCGTTATCTGTATCAGATTTTAAAAAACTTGAAACACATTTTTCTGGTCATTACAGGATAATCTTTGAGTTCCACAAGAACAACAACCAATACACCAAGGCCAAGGTGAGACCCCCGCGACTGGATGGTCGCAGGGTTGGATTGTTCTCAACCAGGTCACCATACAGACCAAACCCAATCGGGCTCACCCTTGCCAAACTGGAAAGTGTCGAAGGTGAGTCTTACTTCTAAAATTATGGTTCACTTTTGTAACTAGAAAATATCCTTAAGACAAGAATGCCCCTCTGGCCCTGTAAAATTTGTGTCATTGTTTGACAATTTTCTGTCGATAGCAAGTGACTTTGATCTGGTTGACCTATAAATAGCATCAGTGACCTTTGCAATGACCTTGGGACAAGAAATACTAGCTCTTGGAGGTATTCTCATTCTTGACCTTTGTATATTTTTTTATGACAATCTGTTAACCCTTTCACCCCTTTAGTATACTCTGCCATGCATTGATATGGATGAGTCCATTAGTCTACAGTGGTGAAACGGTTAAGAAATGAAGTTGGCAGAGTCATGACAATGAATTGCAACATGATGGGACGGATATGGGTAAAACTATATGCCTCCCCCTAAAATGGCAGCGGCATAAACAAATATTTCTACGTAACAAATACACATTGTATGTTATGAATTATAATACTACTTAATTTCAGGTGCTAAGCTACATATATCTGGCATAGATATTTTGGATGGGTCCCCTGTCTTAGATATCAAGCCTTACATACCCAGCTATGACTGTCCAGCGATGTCCTCCACAACGTCGGTCACTCCCACTGTCGCCTCAGGTGACAATGACCGGCTCTCTGACCTCAGCGATGACCAAGTCTCGGACACAGATGCAGATGTGGGACTCGAGGACCAGGATTCCCATAAATCGGTCGATGATGATCCGAGGACATCGCTGAATGATCAGGAACAAACCCAAACATGTGATGATGGACAGGAACATTGTTCTGTGGAAACAGGAGGGGCTGTCGGTTGCACGAAATTGCAAATGGATATTCAGACTGAATTCGTAAAAGACAAGCAGACAGTGGTGAATCAGATTAAAGAATCTGCAACAGCTTCGTTCACCGATAAGCCCGCGACAAGTATTACTACAGAGGTGACCTCAAGTTCTACAAATCATGATATCAGTTACACAAAATCTAGTCAAAATGCAGAACGTATCGCCATAGGAACAGCAGAATGTGAATCGGAATCTTCCGTGCCAGTTTGTCCGATAAAAACGGCAGACTGGGTCAATAAACCTCCTATAGATAAATTGACCGTGCGATTTACACTTACTGCAGAACAACAACTCACTAACTTCAGTAAGAGCACAGACGACCTAGATCACAGGCTCGAGTTTTTAGAATCGTGTGAGGAAGCCCGTAGTGCCATATGTCAGATATTGACGGAGGATCCTAGGTCTGTGTACAGACGTCGGAACTGTTCGGACAGTCTTTATTTTTTTGCCGTAGATAAAGTACATGTGACTTGCTGGTTTGACGAACACATGGTGGAAGTCGTGAGGATCAAACCCGTGTCACAAGTGAAACATTTACAGACTAATAAATAATTAAATTTTTTGATTGGTTGTGAAAGACATCTTTATTCTGATCTGTATTTCCATTAACATCAGTTATTATTCTCTTCATGAAGTCCTTCTAGTCATGTCAGATATCTCAGCATTCCTCGTAGAACGGTTTTGTTATTGGCATTAGATGAATACGGTACTTTGGGATATTCTGGATATGGTTATTTTGGTTTATTTCGAGTGAATGAGCCAAAATGAAGCCTACCAAAATTTCACAAAGAAATACGCTGCCACAACATTTGATATTTGGCACCATCTTCCTACTAATTTATCATTCACTAGATACTTACTTCCATGGGCTATATTTTTTCCTGTTAAGCAAAGTAAGTATACACGTCTTCTCCTGCTTTTGATCAGCAATGTAAGACAAAATATAAACGGCTGTATAGTAATGGAATCTAAAAACAATGTGTATTGTACATACATGTTTTCAGTAGAATACCTGGGTAAACAAGGGCTACAGATAACTGAGGTCTGTCATTTAGCCGCACAACTACCATTACACAATGAACTGATGGAGTGACTTTGTTAGTAAAAGCTTCGGAGAGCACCAACTTTTAACACACAGGATCATCAAACGCAAAAATTTGATGCACCAAAATATTACCACCCCGTCTTTGAGCAAAGAACCCCAAATTTTGGCAGTATAATATTCAAGGAAACTATTTATCAATTTGCTGAGTCATCCCAGTGAAACACATACAGATCTAAACTCACAGCTAGAGTGCACTTGAAGAAAATTTAGGGGCCACAGTGGCCAAGTGGTAAAGGCGTTTGACATTCTGCTACCACTAGCCCTCCACCGCTTGGTCGCGGGTTCGAGACCTATGTGGGGTAGTCGCCAGGTACTGGCTGTAGGTCGGAGGTTTTTCTCCGGGAACTCTGCCTTTCCTCCACCACCAAAACCTGGCATGTCCTTAAATGACCATAGCAGTTAATAGGGTGTAAAACACAAACGAACCAAACTTGAAGAAATAACCTTAACCCTTTCACCACTGTAGACCATAATGGATTTGCCCAGATCAATGCAAGGTATAGAGTCTACTAAAGTTACAAAGGGGTGAATGGGTTAAAAAAAGAATAGACATGTACTGCGACACAATGGATGCCTTCCCAAGGTCTCTTCAGAAAAACTGAATTATTTTAAGACCCGGATAAGTGGTGTGGTTCAACACAAGATGTCCACAAAGCTGGGAGTCGAACCTGCACCTGTCATAATGAACGGGTGCAAATCCTGACAAATTCTCTAAACTACACAGATGACCAGAGCTTGTATGAGCGTTATATTTCACCTGTAGGAACTACTTTGAAGACTGTCTAATAAAAGAAACCACACATCGCATCATTTTTACTATTTTTTTTAATTTTATATATGTATTTTTCATCAAGAACATAGTCTGACGTTTTTAATTTTAATTACATAGTCTGAAATAAAATTTGTACGTGTATATTGCATAGTTATATATCATAAATAAATAAACTTGTAAATATGTATATCTAATTTATCTACAAAGGCGAAATAAATGGTACACATTTTGGCTACTCTGATCACGAAGAAATATGTCAGCATTTACCACTATGCAGCAAACCATTGACTTGTCCTGGGGAGGGGGACCGTTTGGGGGAAAACTAAGTTAATGTGTTTTGACACTAACGGCAGTAAATTGCCAATCAAAGAAATAACTTTTTTAAGTTCAAGTTAGAAATAAAAGTTGTCATGAATTAAATATATACAGCTTGTAATTAAAAACAAAACTGTTTTCTAGAAAATATCTATTATACATTATTGATTTTCATTAAAAATATGTACACCGCATGGAATACATATAAATTTCTAAACTGTCTAAAACGTCACATTTAATCCTTGAGTCGATAGTTGTGACAAGACTGGGCAAGTTTTAACATAAACACAAAGAATGTGTCATATAACTATCTATAACAGAACAGAGAATCAAAAACTTACATACATATATTCAGCCGTGGAAAAATTCAGATTTTACCAGATATGACATCTAGATTTACATGTAAAACAACAAAACTACTTGATACCGAGATTTCAGATTTTTTTTTAAATTAAGAAAAATAAAATTGATCTCGATGATACTGGTTGTGAGAAATTTACAGGAATAAAACTTGATGTTTGAATATTTGTTCAGCACCACCTGTCTTGTTTCTTAAATGATACCAGTAAATGAAACACAGAAGATTGTACTGTATTATATTAGAATTTAAAGCATGTCTGGGACTCCTTATTATCTTGAAGTGCTCACATGCTTAAAATAAGCCCCTGTGTCGAGATCTTGATTGGGTACAACATTTGAACTGTATTTAATCTGACCATGTGAGATAAAAGATACTAAATGTAGGTTATATACATGCATATTAAAATGATATGTCGCTATTTCTATCAGTCAGATTGTATATCAGGCACAACACGTTCAAAAACAGAAAAATAAACTTAAAATAAAAATCTTGCATTTTACTAACCAACATTACTAGACATGCAATTTTCGAGAGAAACGAGGAAAAAATATATAATAATATCTATTAAAAAGAATTTCTTTCCACACAATCTATAACACAGAAAACAACTGAATACAACACATGAAAAACAAATGGAGAATAACTTTTTAAAATCCGATTATTGCTGTCAATGACGTAAACAATACAACCAACCAAATGTATATAATGATGAATATTTATTAACCTAATTTACACCATACCAGTCAAGTATGGTAGAATCTTCATTCAGAAGTAAATCAAAAATAGCAAGACTAGTTCACAAACATACAAGAAAAATCCTGAAGATATGACGATACCCTTGTACTAACAGCAAGTCACATTCAGATCAGGACTTGAAAGAACCATGTCAACTGGTAACTGATATTGGGAACATCAAGGTGAGAGATACAGAACAATCTCAATAATAGAACATGTCATGGTAGTTTGACATGGTAACTTAAACATCAGCAGCAGAACATTGGACACTAAGGCAGGGTTTAAAGTATGACTCGGGATATGGGTGATAAAGGCAGTGTTTCAAGTCAAAGGGTTGGGACACCAAGGTAGGGTTTCAAGTCAAAGGGTTGGGACACCAAGGTAGGGTTTCAAGTCAAAGGGTTGGGACACCAAGGTAGGGTTTCAAGTCAAAGGGTTGGGACACCAAGGTAGGGTTTCAAGTCAAAGGGTTGGGACACCAAGGTAGGGTTTCAAGTCAAAGGGTTGGGACACCAAGGTAGGGTTTCAAGTCAAAGGGTTGGGACACCAAGGTAGGGTTTCAAGTCAAAGGGTTGGGACACCAAGGTAGGGTTTCAAGTCAAAGGGTTGGGACACCAAGGTAGGGTTTCAAGTCAAAGGGTTGGGACACCAAGGTAGGGTTTCAAGTCAAAGGGTTGGGACACCAAGGTAGGGTTTCAAGTCAAAGGGTTGGGACACCAAGGTAGGGTTTCAAGTCAAAGGGTTGGGACCCAAGGTAGGGTTTCAAGTCTTAAGGCTTGGGAAGTACTGGGTTGACCAAAACAGGCTTTTGAGTTGAAGGATCTTTAAGCCAGGGTTTCAAGACTGCATGGGGGCTGTCAGAGTAGTTGGGCGACTAAGACAAGGTTTTAAGTCGAGGGATTTGGCTACTCAGTCAAGGTTTCTACTCCGGAGATTTGTGTAGTTTGACTCACTAAGACATTTTTGAAACCAGAGGATTTGGAGGGGCTGTGACACTAAGACAGGTCTTTAAGTCGGCGATCTATATAGGGGATAACAGTAGCTACAAAAGGGACACTTGCTTGTCAATGGAAGCGGGGTCGGGAACGTCACCTCAAGCCAATGGTTTTTCATACAGGGACAGGACGGATAGGTAAGACAAGCAAAACACAGGACACAAAAATCGTCATCAATTTTAGCTAAACATACAACATAGAGTATGTCTGACTCTATATCTGAACACGAACGAGCAAATGTTCCGATAAATGAATACACATCTTCAGTGTTGAATGCAACTGAACCAGTAACTAATAACAAACCATTTCCAAGGTACGTACTTAGGTCAAAATCTACTGTTTCTATGGGTATTCATAATCATTTTGTAGAATAATTTGACAAAATGTATTTAAATTCTACTACTACAAAAAAATATCAATATTGTACTTTCATGAAAATATTTATTACAAAATATTAAATAGAAAAAAGTTTTCAGAATGTGCAGACAACCTCTGTTTTGAATGGGCAAGAACTATAAACAGATAAAACATTTTGTGTTACCTATAACATCAAAATCTACCATTACTATGGACCTTATATAATTGGTTTGTAGAATAAGTCGATAAAATATGTTTTAATTCTACTCCTAAAACAATAAGTTAAAATCTTACTTTTTTTGAAATAATATCACTGGTTCCATCTTTAAAATAGTTTAAAATAAATCCATGGATTAGATACAAGTTCTTTGTAGTAAAATATTGAAAAAATAAAACAGTTGTAGAATATGTACTTTGTACTTGTCTCGTTGTTTTTCTTGTTTCTCGTGGATTTCGCACCCAGATTAACTTTGTCTACAACTACTAGATGTAAGTTTCTTTTCCATGCACCATGAATGTACAATGAATTTCTTTTATACATAAAAGTAGTTTAATTAATTTTATACACAAGTTTGATCCTAAGGTAAAAGTATATACATATTAAAACTGAACTCTTATTAGTCAAGACGCTCAAGGTTCGAAAAAGATATTCCAGAATAACATGGAAAAAAAATCGAGATTTACAATACAACATTCGATATCTTTGGTTACTGGTATTTGCACAAACAACAAAAAACATTTTAATAGTTGAACTTCAGAAATTTTTCCAGTCCTTTTCAACCATTTCTTGTAATATATATAATACTTTACAAAGATTCACAAATTTCAGATTTCACAGACCACACAAATACTACTATTTCTACAGTTATTTTATTCTACAATGAGTTTAAACCTTTACTCTCGATACTGGCCAGTGTAGTTATTTGATATGTATTCCAGCTATTTGAAAATCAATCTTGAGAAATTCTTGGAAAATATCTTACGAGCGAACATCTTGACAAGGTAATACAAACTACAATTATAACAGTGACAAGCATCCAGAATTAGCCACCACATGCACTAAAAAATATAGACAGATTTTGAGGACACAGATTTTTCCGGCTAAAAATTATCCACGTAATCCATCTAATTCACAACCAAGCAATTTGAACTGCGAACAAATCTGAAAGTTGCTTTATTATAGAAATTTCACTGTATATGGTCGTTAAAATTACATACATCAGCACAGACAATTTTTGCTCTATTTCTCTATACACTGTAGTCCTCTTTCACTTTATTAGCAAATAAGCCATGTTACATGCTTAACACTAACTATGAGTTTTCAGCTTTAAATAAATGGTCATCTTGATTAAGATGACGATGTTTATTTGACAATATGAAAAAAAAAAAAAAATCAAATTGACGATCTTGATTATAACAGACTTGTTCAGCTACTTATGATCTCAGGGTTCTGTGGTCCGAACTGGTGTTCTAGTAGTGCTACAATCACAGGTGCCAGACACATTCTATTATTTTTGGAATCCTATTTACAATAACATGTCCGTCCCCTGTGGCTACAATATCAGCCATTGGTAATATCACAAAAGATCTCCCTATTTAATCGTAGACATTTTTTCAGTTAATACACTGTGCACTGAAACCATACAAAATCAGATTTGTGTTTCAATTTCATGACCGAAATTGATGGGATATATGTTGGTAGATAGATTTCATGAAATAAGTTCACAACAGGGATCAAATATAAAAACTGCATTTGGTTTAAAAGCTTAAATAAAAAGTTAAGATCCCTACACAAGAAAGGTTAGTGCAGATTTGTGTCTGTTCACTTAAGATATAAGACTGGCGAATAAAATGTACAGTTTGTGTTGTAGGTTTTACAACAATTTTGATCATGGTAAAAAGGCCCAGAACAATTTGCCATTTTTTCCCCCTCAGATACAAAACAAAAAATATCAAACAGAGAATATTGAAACAATATAAAACAAAACAAGAGAGAAACAATGTTTATATTGACATTGTTCAGATCTATTAAAATAAACATCAACAACTGACAACAACCTTCCATGCAATATCTATAAGAAAACAATGTAAGACAAATATTCAGGGAAATTAACGTCAATAATGTTAAACATTTTAACAAAAAATTCTCATTAACAAATTTTACCCAACTGGGAGGTTGTCTAAGAGACCTAGAACTACAATGCTGAAAATGGCTTTTGGAGGTTGGTGTACCTAATTATACTAATTTTGATAAGATATTTCTATATTTACCCTTTCAACACTGTAGACCATAATGGACTCCTCCATATCAATGCATGGTAGAGTCTACTTAAGTTACATAGGGGTGAAAGGGTTAAAATGTTTTCAACAGCATTATAGTTTTGGAGGTAAAAGAAACATGACTTGAAATTTCATTGGTTGCAAGATTTACTTTAAATAATATATTCTACTTTTTTTTCTATATAAGAACATCATAATCCTTAATTCCATCAAGAGTCTTGTTAAAATTTTTTGAAACACATGGTTTGATTTCTAATGCGATTCGATTCATCTGCAAGGTATATGAATCTTGACAAGATGTTGAAGGATTCCATATTTAAAACAATCTTTCAAGTCAGGCAGTGAAGAAGTATAATGAAACTTTACAATAAAGATTACATAAAAGTGCTACATTTATATTCCTGTTAGGAGTATTTGTGGAGCCGTGTTCAAAAGTCAAGAAAATTCAGTTTCCAGAAAAAAGAAATTCTGCAAACAGTTATCCTTGCTATCTAAGCCAAGACTTAGACTAATAATTTATGTTAAGCAACTTTCATCTGCGATATTAAACATTTAAATGAAGGAACAGAGACTAGAGCACCAGCATAGCTGCAACGATGCGAGGTAATTCTTGGGATACGACACAGCAGAAATACTATCGCTGATGATTTGTTATTTACGACGATATCCTGAGGTCAGATTTTTTCTATCAATCAGGATATATTTATGATTTGTTTTTAAGACGATATCGTGAAGTCACATATTTTTCTTTCGATCAGGATATATTGATGATTTGTCTTTCTGGCGAAATTCTGAGGTCACATTTTCCCCCCTCTTTATCAAGATAAAAAAACCTGCTTTAACTGGCACAGTATTGTTATAGGTACTTCAGACCTATCAGAGAAAACAATGGTCAGGTACGTATACATGAACATACTTTCTTGGCTATTTACAAGGGATACATTCTACTTCTCAAATAATAGTTGTTGTTACCAAATTTTGGGCATGGAATGGTTCTTTGTTTTTTAACAAATGACTGACAGATGAAACTGTTGATGGAATAATATATTTCTTTGTGAGATTGTGCTACCTTCAGATCAAACAATATAAGTAAATATACGAATATATTAATTAATAAAAAAAACTTTACGAATATTTATCCTGAATCATATCTCTTAGTAATCATGGATCGTATTGAAAAACCAAGTGCTTTAACAAACAAATTTTAATTTATTATCTTACCACTTATACAGAAAATATCTTTAAAATATTAAATTCGATAATTTATGATATCCAAATGCTTCGAAGCACCAGTAGAATATCTAAGAATGGAAAATTAATACTTTCAGATTACAGAAGCAACAGATTGACGAGAGGAAATTTATCCACTTTACCCTATAAAAGGTCGGTAATATCATGGAATACAATGTGCGTGATGATGAACAACGCCTGATTCCTTTTATGTCAACAATCTTTCAATCCGACAGAATCGTTTTGGCTGGCTGGTTGTCTCCCTTGGGTCAGTGATCCAGGACGTTTTCCTTGAACCACAACCGACATGAAGCTGCCGGAACTCTGTTTCAAGAATTCCAGGTTTCTTCTAAGAAAGCGACAACATATATATAAGAAATGGCGACAGCTGCACAGGCATTGAATGCAATTCCACAACTTTCAACACTTGACGACCGGTGAAGCGAAAATAAAATATGACAACATTAGGAAGACCTCGACAGTTGGTATTATTGCTAGGTATCAACTCTGGGACTCTTTGCGTATTAATGAGATAATCTGTTCGTGTATTTCGTACATTTCTGTCACTTTTGAGCCCAGGTGGTCCTGTAAGTGTAGGAGATCGTTCGAGTCCTGATCGTGTGACATACGTGCATCCTGTAATTGTCGGTGGTAGTCCTCCACTTTCAGCGCTAGTGATTGATTTTCATCCTCTAACATCTAAAAAAAAGTTGGAAAAAAAATTGAGAATGTTTACAAAGATACAATGACACTTATTTCAATACAAACTCATTGGTTTCCGTGACGTAAAATCAGTAGCAACAAATATTGCACTATTTTTTTTTTTTAAATGTTACCTTTTTTTTTTTACAACAATTATGAAACAAGTTGTTTCAACTTATATTAATCAGTCTTGTTGGCCCAGATGGAAGAGCACAGAGGGTCTTAATGTGGGAGGAAACCGGAGTACCCGGAGAAAACCCACGTGCTCAGGCCTGTTACACAATACCATTTCAAGTACAATCAGGTAATCAAATCCTGTCCATGGTGAAAGGCGAGTGGGCTATCCACTGATCACCCAAAAATGATCTGTTATTTTCTGATTATGGTATGAGAAAATATCCCTTACAAATCTTTAGGTCCCTAGATCTATGGACCTGCACACCATATTAAAGTTTAGATGTTGAGACACGTTCTCTCACCTTTATTCGACTGTGTAGGCTAGAACTGGCCGTCTCCTTTACGGCCATATCGTTCAATCTCATATTAAGCTGGTTAATCTCCTACAAACAGACAGGAAAATAGATGTAATACGCATGGTACCAAAATGAAGCTGAACCCTGTCACCCCTATGTAACTTTAGTAGACTCTACCATGCATTGGTATGGATGAGTCCATTTTGGTCTACAGTGGTGAAAGGGTTAACGAAAGCATGGAAGCATCTTTTAGCTAAGATATTGCAATAAATTTGTATGTGCAGTCAAACATATGTAGTTGATATGCCAATAATGAAAATATTGTTGCAACACCCCAAACATTAACATAAAATATAACATTTTTTATATTTAAGACACATCTTATCAAATCTATATCTGCAATATAAATATGTTCTATTGATTAACACAGCATGAAGAAATCCAAGCTTTGTTTTCAAAAACAAATTATGAGTTCAAGTTTGATCCTCACAATAAATATACAAAACATAACCATGCCACTGAATTTTAAGCAAAAGCAGATTGGAGAGATCAATAAGTTTCAAATTTTAAATAAACAAGCCATTGTATTGCGAGAAATCCAAAGTCCCCCACCTCTGGACAAGCTTTGGTAACAAAAATGAACAAAGGATCATAATTCTATATAGTGTGGACATGAAACCTGATTTCAGAACCCAAAACTCTGCCATTCCAGAGAAACTTCCATGCAATATAATGGGTTCCATGTATGCCCCAGTTAAAGTGAATTATGGATAAACACATATAAGATTGAGTGCAAACCTAACTAACCCAGTAATCCTAACTCCAGAAATTGAATGATCATAAGCAAAAATATTTTTCGGGACTAAAGCAGCCCCACTTTAAAACAGTTTTATGCAATGGCAATTCAGTGATAGGTTAAAAGACTTTTCGGCAAATATAAGCATCATTTTAAAACATTTTCTTTATGTCAGCAGGGAGTAAGTTTGCTATGAAAGTTCATAAATTAATCATAATGAATTAAAACAAGCAGAATTTGGCAGCCAGAAGGATTAAACAAGGCATTCAGCCATTGTATGCTTTATTATATACAAAGTGACCGACTCACTTGTAACATCTTACGATTACCAAAACACTGAAAAATATACCAATGGTATACATGATAAGTCGGACATCTGCTCAAATAACAACTTGACAATTACTGCTGTCTTCATTATTTTTGTTGTGAGTTATTATGAATTTTCAATTAATATATAATCAAAAAGAAAAAAGAAATGATTTGAAAATAAAATTCCTCAACTGAACATTTATGTATTGCTTGTTAGCAAATTACCTCCCATGAACACAAAGCATTACTAATGCCCGATAAAAACTCATCAGCAGCTTTTTTGTTAGACATCTTTTCCATTCTTTGCGGGTTTTTTTTTTTTAATTCTATGAAAATTCCTGAATCAAATAAATCATTGTTTGGGTAAAACTTGTTTTTTCTTCTTCAAAAAAAATTGTTTTAAAACAGACACAGTATACCTTAGTGTATAATATTTTCTACCACCTTTTGTTATGCAAATTACATGTGTCCTATGTAGAATATCCATTGGGTTACTGCCTAACTCTATCACACATAGGTGCACCCAGGGACCCAAAGTTTGGGAATAGATTTTTCTTTATGTTGCCGAGGAAATGCATAAAAACAAATGTTCTGAGATGTGATGTCATTTTGATATGATACATGATGTTATTCAACATAAAAAAGACCACCAATACACAATCAGTATCCGAGATTGCCTCAAATAAAGTTTTTTTTTAAACCTAACTTGCTGTGAAGCTTTTTCAAACTTAATAATTTTAAGTATACCTCTGGTATACCATACATTTTCTGTTCTGTCTAAAATGTTCATGTTTATTTATCTAAGATATCTAGACAATCTACCATATTGATTTTTACATTTTAACCTAATTCCTTGGTACAAGGTGGGAGAAAAGAGTAAACCATAATACAGATATCAAGGATATGGCAAATCCTATCCTGAGGTGTAGAATTTCAGCTCAACCTGAGCAAATTCTACACCCTCAGAATTTCCCTATCCCCAGTATCTACATATGATAAACTCTATTAATACCCCCCCCAACCCCAACAACCTAACAACATTAAGTAGACCTGGAATTGTGTAACAGAGTCACAGTGACCTACATCTTGTTTGTCTTGGTTGTCGAGTTGTACCCGTTCGAGGCGTTCGGTCAGCTGTGACAGTTCCCCCTGCAGAGCCCCGACTTGCTCTGATGAATTCGGCTGCTTCTCCATCTCAAGGATCTGTACAAATGCAAACATTTAGATTCATGTTACAAAGCATTCTCTTGTATTACAAATGTGAAGATCATACAGTTGACTTTGCTTTCATGATCAAAAGCAGCAATTTCATTCGAAACCATTTTTTCTTAGAAAATTGGACACAGACACAACAACTCCTAAGAGGTCTGACATAAGCATTGGAATTTGGCCAAGGACGAGCGCAGAACCTGTGTCATCTATGGACCTTCTGGAGATTGGATATGTACATAATAAAAAACATGTTTTAAAACATGTCTATTTATCAGTCTATAATCCAAGGTTATATCTAGAAGGAGTGGCATTGATCATATCCAAGGGGACAGATTACCTACATAATGATGTTGATGTGAATATGTCTAGACAAGCTGTCACTTATCCTAAAATTCTCCGCAATGAAATTTGCTGTCACCAATCTATCCGTTAAGTTGGTGGTGAAAATATTTAAAACAAAAATTCCAGAAAATCATTAAACATTATAAAACATGAGAAAACTGACCCAGGAGATCACATGTTATAAACATTATTTGTTTGAATAAAGACTTTTCAAAACTGCTTTAAAATGTCTTGTTTTCTATTTTGTACAACCCTAGACCTTTGACAAAATTTGTCCCTGATCACTTTGCCTCATTGTTCATATCTAACCTTTGACCCCAACCCTTCACCTTAGTCTTAACCTTTGATCTTTATCCCTGACCTTTCACCTCAGAGTCCAAATTGGACCCTTTACCATATATGTTTGACTTTTGTCTCTGGTCTTCCACCTCAGTCTCAACCTTTGACCTCTGTCCCTAACCTTTGACCAATTACCTTTTTCTTCATGCGAGCACTTTCTTCCTTGTATGCTGCCAGCTGTTTTTTCCACTCCTCAACGTTGGCAGTGCTTTCCTGGAGTGCGGCAGTCAAACGTGCATTATTATTCTTCAGTGTTTGCAGTTCTACCTCCCATTTCTTGGCATTTGCGGAGCTAAAGAATTACACCAATCGTTAAAAAAGTTTCAAATGCCAGAAAGAAATTGATTGATGGAAAGAAATACAATTGTAAATCCAGAGATGAGATCATGTAAGAAGTACTTAAAGAGATATGCTACTTAACTCTGACATTCTATCTTCTTCTCAAAAGAGTTCCAAGTTAATAAAATCAATGAATTAATGGTTGACTTGCAACAAATCTATTATTTTAAAATAATAAATCATTTCTGCACAACCATATATGTTGACCAATCAAAATTGGAACTCTTCTGTGTTAGAGATTCGGAATCAGTGTTGACAATATGATGGAACATCTTGATTCCAAATATAAGTCAACTGATCTAAAGTCAAAATGAACAATCAGTCATAACGATGAAAATTTAATTTAGCAATATTTACTGTCCTGAGTTATTTCTCTGTATAAAATTTACACAGTATGATAACCAACGATAGAAAGTGTAATCAGACTTAGAAATCAGACAAAATGACATTCTGCTGTAACAGTCAGAAAGAACCTAACTTGTTTTCAGCATACCACCTACAAAAAAACAAGCAACCAACCTTTGTGCTAGTGCTAATTTGAGTCTGTCGTTTTCGTATTTGAGTTGGCCGTCTGCTGAGTTTGGCTGGGGCGGGTTGGAGCCCGGAGTATTGAAGGAGTTCCGACGCTCTCGTAGATTCACCTGTTCACGACTTTCCTGCCCTTGTCCCTACCAACAAATAATGTTCGTTCATGTTTACTAAAAAAAAACCCAAAGCAATGCTATGTTCCCTACAAATATCACATGAATCTGTCAGTAGATCTCATTTTAAAAAGAGAGAATATTATTAACAATAGAATCTTTATGAGAATGTTATATTTGAAACAAGAATGCAAAATGAATGTAAAGACAACGTGTGTTATGCAAATAGCTTATAGGCCCATATTCTTAAATATTTATAAATAAACTTAAGATTCTCTGTTCATATTCCACTCAAATTCTTGTTGAAATATACTTTATATCACATTTTCATATTACCACCCCGGGGTATTGACTTTTTGTAGGTTCATATAGCCTAAAGCTTTAGACAATCCTGCATGAATTTATTTTTTATCTTGTCTCAAGAAACAAAAAAAGATGATTTAAGAACATAATTTAACTTCGAGCATGAGAATGGTTATATAAATACAGGCCATTTTGGTCCTTTTTTTTGGCGATTTAGACAGGTATCAGTCCACTTAATGATTAATGGGTTACCTGTCCATCCCCGACTTGCATGGCGGACAGACTGGAGCTGCGCGTGTGTAAGAATTGTCTCCCCTGCTGTGGTGTCCCCGGGGCCACAGGTCCATCCTCACTGTTCCCGTTGCCATTCACCTGAGCATTCTGTTGAGTCACCTGCTGCCTCGTCAATTCCTTCACTTCCTTGAATTTCTCGATAAACTGAAAAGTGACAATAAATCTTACTGTCTATGGTCGTTGCTGGTTGTAATGAAACCTTTTCTAACTTCCCTTTCCTTAGTATCACATGCACCATGTTTGATATGTGATACATTAAAAGGAATATTTTTGTCAGAAGATTTTTTCTTTTCCTTTTCAAAGTCTTTCCTTCCAAATGGGATTATTTTCTTAATTTCAAGTATTTTCTTACATTTTCAGTTTCCCTTTTCTTTTATTTTTAGTATTTTACAAATTAATTTTTAGGCATCTAACTTTTGGGGAAATAAATGTTCATTTAAAGTTTATTTAACAAGTGAAATGCTTAAACATTTCAGCCTTCATAATACATGCATATACCTTCATGGAATCATCTTTAATATGCACTAACATTTATCATTCTAAATACAAAATTTGATTTATCTAATACAGATTGCAACAAACACATGCACAAATTTTCTCACGTTTCTACCCTACAGAATAAATCCAGGTAGTAGTGGACGTTTTCTATATCTGTAACAGGAGAGGAAACATACAATGGGACAAGACCGGGATTTGAACCCTGGACCTCCAAACTCTACACCAACAGCTTAACCAACGGAACTAAATGGTCACCAGTAGTCATGGGCAAAGTCCCACAATACAAATTAGTTCTTTTTCTAAGTCTTCGCCCCTGAAAACAACACTATTTACAACCCAGATTTGTGGATTTCCTTGTCAAGTACATGTTAGAAGAACCAAGGGTAGGCCACATGTGTCGTTGTAACTGGAGAGAAAGAATGCAACTTAATTTGCCAGATAAGGATTTGAACCCAAGGCCGCCACACTCTTAGACAGATGCTCTAACTTACTGAACTACAGTACCTGGTCATTGGTGGTCACTCCGGCCCACTACATTACCTGGTATCTAGCGCTAGGAGTGGTCAGTGTGACTATTAGAATAGAGACCTATATTAACATGTCCTGGAGGATACAAGATTAATTTTACACTTCATTAACAACAAATTATCAGGATGGATGCACTTCAATCTGAACAAATCTAGAACCTCCAGACAAATCATGTACGAACCAAAACTGACCGACTCTCCAATCTTGTAAATGAACTCGGGTGTAAGTTTCTCGCCGTCTCCTGGTCAATGACAATGACAGACATTCCAAACCGACAGCTATTCTGCCTGATAAAACTCTGATAACATCTATCAATTTACCTTCGAAAGGGACATGTTAGCGACAATAGCAAAGTACAGATTCGAAAGACCTCACATTTAAATTTCATTGACCAAGTTATGATCAAATTACAGCTCCAACTATAGCGATCATTCTTAATTTTAGTTTATATACATGTACATTACATGTGTATATTTCAATTTTTCATTAATTGTACTACTGTACAAACAGCTTTCAACTAGACAAGTAATCTTGTACTTTTTAAGAAAGAAACAATCATATATCCATCTATCCATTTTTTTGAGAGAGAATTTCTTTTACCTGTAATTTTTGTTTTTGAAATCAGCAGAATTTCAAACATTTTTCTTTTTTTGCTCAAACTCAGTGAATTCATGGTTTAAATTTAATAGGTTAAACTGTGACATTTTCCACAATAATTTGTTTGTCAACCACTGGTAAGGATCATTGTTTACACCTCTTAGTCTGTAGTGCAGTTTCTGCGACATTGCAAGTTTTATAAATCTTTTTTTTATTGACAGAAATAAAATTTCCCTGTCAACGTGCCACATGATATTTCAATTTCCTGATCTTGAGGAAATTAAATTTCATTTCCTCCACAATGTAACGACTAATGATCATTAAACAATTAAGTTTTCAGATCCAATTCCTTTAGGCCTGCTCAGACAGCCAGACATGTAAACAGGGCAAAATGGATGCCACATAGAAAAAAAATAAAAAAAATCCTACACTACAGTTCCTGATGATGGCCAGTATGCCAAAAAATAGGATCTGAGAACATTATTAGTTGTTGATAGATCATTGCACTAATTGCAGGACAACTTTTATCTTGAATGATTTGGATAAGCCTAGATAGATCTACAAAAAATGTATTACCTTGGCGAGATCTGCTTCAGAAGTAAATCCTAGTCCATATACGGTGTTGGCCCGGGGATCTGACCACTGTCCGAACTTCTGTGAAGTCTTGGTAAAGGTCATACCTGGCGTGATGGTACTGTTAATTATCGCCTGTAAAATTAAGAGAAAGATGTTCAAACATAAAAGGAAACCACTTTTGTTAAGGAACTAGCATGGATGGTCTCTTTATATGGCCAGGATTATACAGGAAAATTTCACTTTCAAGCTTTCTGCAATTTGAAACTTCGCGAGTTGAAATTTCTCCATTTCATTAATTCTTAAACACATATAAAATGGTAGTAGACTTAACCAAAATGCATGTGAAAGTATGAATTAAGAAATTCATAAATATCAGAGACACAAGACCAGAGTTACCTTCTTACCATGCCACCCCTTTTTCTCCAGAAAACTTTCAGCATTATAAAGGGGTTTGACAATGCATTGTAAGAAAAAATGTCAAAGAGTTACAGTGTACTAGAAATATGTTTCTGGCTTTAAGGGAGACTGGAAATCCAAAGAGGGGTATTGTATCAAGGTTTTATCCGATGTGTAAGTCTATATATATTGCCATCAAGCAGAATATATAGATAACAAGTGCCTTCAGCTAACAACATGAAAGACCATTGAATACTATCACAACTAAGTGACAATCAAGTTACCTCATAATTGGGAAAACAGCACAATGGGCACATGCCTACATGTGTATATTCGGTTTCACCAAAAATCCTTCACAATAATTACCAAGTCTCCCAATTACATACTCAGGAAATCTCTTAATTACATTTTTCCATTCAATTAACTTAATTAGGATTTTCGGAAAGAGTATGTGTATCGTGAACGCGACAATATACCGAAATTGGACCGGGACACATACTCATTACTGCAACATTGTGTAAGTAATTGATTTTGCTATTGATTCTTTAAGTCGAGCAGGATATACATTTCTCCCCCTCGGCGTTAAACGCTACATCTGTCGGATGCTCCGTGGAGCATAGATTTTCCTTTCCCCCCTCCTGGTTAAATATATAGGAGATAGGCATTAAACCGCTTAACTTTACACAAAGAAAATAAATTTATATTCTCTAGAGATCACAAAAGTGCAAAGAGCTTTAAGTTTTGTTTTCATCTCGTAAGGCAGGAAACGCTTCACAGATAACGGAAGATACAATAATAAATTGCCTTCGTATCTGGGTTTCACCTATATACTCAAGTCAATACAGGTCGTAGTATTTGCCAAAAGAAATTAAAACTGTTCAAATTTACGAGGCATAAAATTTAGGTGAATTGAATGCTTGAATGGCATTTCACAGATGGTGTTATACTTGATCAGATAGAGCCAATGTGAATTGGGGGTTAAAAAAATTGAGGATGTTAAAGGGTTATGTTTTTACTTATCTGCTTAATCAGGATCATATCAGCGGTGTTATATAAACACTACAGACATTTGTATACAATAAAAGCCCTTCCAAAACTTTCTCCTGTTGTCCAATTATTTATATGACTCATAACATCAGGCCAAAGCAAACAAATATTTTCTTGACTTGCTTAAAATTGAAATATCTTTTTCTTTTCAGTTTTGTCTTACCAATAAATTGATCTTTTATTTCAAAAGTTGGGAACTTTTTAAATACAAACTACATACTTGCCCCCTTAAAACTATGCAAGAAATAATTAAAATATGATTATCGTTGAATATTTTTGGCTTGCAGCATAACATATTCATGAAATATATAAACATTTTGCTTGATTAGAAAAGGTCTGTAAAACAAGTATTCAAGCTGATGTGGCCTCAACACAGCACTGTTACTTGCTAGCAATTTGGAGGTTGCAAAATCTGTCCAAGATTTCAGCGTAACCTTGGCATTTTTCCACCGTATAGTATATGTAAAATGTGATTGAAGAAAGTCAATTAACTGCACATGGAACTAATGCTTTTACCAAAATTGAATAAACATAGCATTAGCTGTCAGAATATACGCGTGCACCAGATGTGAGAGTTACTATCCTGTATACTACATCAGACACCGGTAACAAACAATTAGGTAGTACATGTATATATACATAGTCCATTAAGGGTGTATGCTACATGTACCTTATGGATGCCTGATTTGTATGTCGGTTATATACATAAATGAATTATATATAAGTGACCAGTGCACACCACCAGCTGATAAATAAAGTGGCCCTATCAACATTGGGAAGAAAGGGATCATTATCAACATTGGGGAGCTCAAGGGAGGGTTCATTCTTGATCTTTGGGAGGGAGATATCTTACTGACATCAGGGTAGGAAATATCGTATTGAAATTTGAGAGGGGAAATATATTATTCACATTTGGGAGGGAAATATGTTATTGATATTGGGGGAGATTAATATCATTGTTGACATATGTGAAGGAGATCTGTTATTAAGAAAGGAAAGGTTTTTTTTACATTAGAATAGGAGAAAGGGGAAGGGTGACATTACTTAAATCAGGAATGAAAAGGGTAATTTGTTCCCACTGGTTCAGAAGGGATCAGTATTGTGATTAGGAAGAGAGGGGTCAATATCAACATTGTGGATGGGAAGATTCATTATTGATATTTGGGAGGGAGGGGTCGCTACTGATCGTGGGGATGGGAAGATTCATTGTTGATATTTGGGAGGGAGGGGGCGTTACTGATAGTGGGGATGGGAAGATTCATTTTTGATATTTGGGAGGGAGGGGTCGTTACTGATAGAGGGGATGGGAAGATTCATTATTGATATTGGGGATGGAGGTGTCGCTCCTGATAGTGGGGATGGGAAGATTCATTTTTGATATTTGGGAGGGAGGGGTCGTTACTGATAGTGGGGATGGAAAGATTCATTATTGATATTTGGGAGTGAGGGGTCGCTACTGATAGTGGGGATTGGAAGATTCATTATTGATATTTGGGGGGGAGGGGTCGCTACTGATAGTGGGGGTGGGAAGATTCATTATTGATATTTGGGAGGCAGGGGTCGCTACTGATAGTGGGGATGAGAAGATTCATTGTTGATATTTGGGAGGGAGGGGTCGCTACTGATAGTGGAGATGGGAAGATTCATTATTGATATTTGGGAGTGAGGGGTCGCTACTGATAGTGGGGATTGGAAGATTCATTATTGATATTTGGGGGGGAGGGGTCGCTACTGATAGTGGGGATGAGAAGATTCATTGTTGATATTTGGGAGGGAGGGGGCGTTACTGATAGTGGGGATGGGAAGATTCATTATCGATATTTGGGAGGGAGGGGTCGTTAATGATAGTGGGGATAGGAAGCTTCGTTGTTGATATCTGGGAGGGAAGGGTCGTTACTGATAGTGGGGATGGAAAGATTCATTATTGATATTTGGGAGGGAAGGGTCGTTCATGATAGTGGGGATAGGAAGATTCGTTGTTGATATTTGGGAGGGAAGGGTCGTTACTGATAGTGGGGATGGAAAGATTCATTATTGATATTTGGGAGGGAAGGGGCGTTACTGATAGTGGGGATGGGAAGATTCATTATTGATATTTGGGAGGGAGGGGTCGTTATTGATACTGGGGATGGGAAGATTCATTATTGATATTTGGGAGGGAGGGGTCGTTAATGATAGTGGGGATGGGAAGATTCATTATTGATATTTGGGAGGGAAGGGTCGTTAATGATAGTGGGGATAGGAAGATTCGTTGTTGATATCTGGGAGGGAAGGGTCGTTACTGATAGTGGGGATGGGAAGGGTCTCTTTTGACATTTAGGGATTGGAGGGGTCATTATTGACATCGGGGATAGGAAGGGCTTTTTTGAAATTGGGAAGGGAGGGGGGTCATTACTGACATTGGGAACCAAAAGGTCACTATATTGACATTTTGATGGGAGGGAGGGGTCATAGAGACGTTTTGGTGTTAGGGAGTGGCTTACCTTGGATCCATCCACACTAATAATCCTGTAAGTGTTCCTGGTACTGTCAAAGTAGTAAGACACGCTGACGGACGACTGACATGCTGGAACCCAGTTCTTCTTAGTCTCCGGGTCAATCTGGAACACATGGGCTTTAGTGGTGAAGAAGGGCTGCTCCCTGAAACGTAAATAAAAACCAAATTAAAACAACATCAACATTCCATCAATTAATTTCACATTAAACCCCATGAAATATTTACATGAATGCGAAACCTTGACTCAAACACATTTGTGACGGCAATAAAACATTATGGTGCTCTAGTCAAATAAAAGCCTGATGATCAATAAATCATTTTTTTAATTTCAAATTTCAACATAAAATATTCATATGATTTGAAACCTTGACACAAATATATAAATCTGTGACATCAGAAAAGCAGTTGACAGAATTTTAAAATGACAGTGACATAGTCAAACCTATGTCCCTCGAGCTAAAACATGGCATTTTCTATAAAACAATAATTTGGCTGAACACCCTGAAGTGTTTATGTATGTACCGACACCGTCAGAGCTTACTGGCATGCAGAAGTGTTACGAAGCTCTAAAGTGTATAGGTACTGTATACAATCATTAATTCATTAGAACACATTCGGGTGAGTTACATGCTGTCATATTACCCAACACAGTTGCAGTGTCTCTATTCTGTATAATATTTGTTAATGCGTCTACGGCAGTGCCTGGGTATATATTGGTATATAATGGTTTATATACATATTTAGGTACAGCTACAGGACACGAAACAGACCTCCGACATTTGACACATTCCGTAAAGGAATTAAAAACTCCCACAATCAATAACCCAGAACACCCACCGTAGCACACTGAGTACAGCCACCGGAGTAGACAATGTCCTCACAATTCGCCTCCGTGACATCTTCATCAAAAGATCATCGTTACTTTATATAACACACCATACGATTATGTCCATCCCAGCAGTCGATAGGAACATGTATGAGACACATACCGATACTGATATAAAATTAGTTAGCCTGTTGTCCGTCCCCACATTATCACAAACCGAACCAATAGACATTCCTGTATAATCCACAATGATTTGCCACCAAAAGTAACATTGCAGGCCCCCGCATAATACAAGCCCCAACACTGATTATTATTCTTGGCAGAATTGTATCTTTCAGCCAAAATACCAGTACAGGTGTTTTATCATGGTCCGACATGTACATGGACTGTCAATTTGTAAATGCCTTTCATCTTCAGGCGGCCGATTTATAGACGACTGTAATAATGTTGAGATTGCATGTCATACAAGGCGAATACACGGTCAGCTTTTATTGGTGCGGGTGATAGTATTTTACAGGGCCCATATATATAATTTTGTCAATATTAAATGGTCGCTGTACAGGCGACGGAATGACAATGGGGGGACGTTGTTCTCCGAAATGTTTACTCACACTTGGAGGTCGACAGAAAAATGTGTCCCGGGTCACCCCAAGACTGACATTCCGTATTTAATCAATCATCGTCTCACTTTAATAATGGCCGACACCTAGCATAACTACGCTTAAGCACTTTCGGTCCCTCCCCCCTGCCGATCAATGAATCGATCTCTCCAATGAACAGATATCACTTCTCTACCCTATGATCAAGTGTGGCAGAGTATAGCCCACTGATAATTTGTTCACATCGTATCCTGGTACACTAACGGGTGAACTAGTACCTCATACACAAGTATATTTATGAAGGAAAAAAGGTATTCAGATCAATGCGATTATGCCATTCAGATTTTTTGAAGGTTTCATTAAAATTGTAAACCGATTTGTTCAGTTGATGGTTATGAATTTGAAACCCATAACATGATATTTCATTGATTTCATGAAAATATGAAATGATATTCAATTTCAATTAAACAGGCAAATTACGGGATATAACATAACAGGTGCTTGACACAGTGTTATATATTACAGCAACAGAAAATGAAGTTTGTGTTTAATATAACTGGGTTAGAAAGCTTAAAGGTAGATTGTTCTATATATAGTTGGATCCAAATGGTAACAGCTTAGTTAATTCTGAAATCATGTGTGATCTCCACCCTCAGTCCAACTATTTTCCCTTCCTTTAGTAATCTAAACTCCATCCTTATATCCTAACCCCCCCCCCCCCCCCCCTCACNATGAAGCTGTGTGGATTCGGTTTATTTTTACAGTGAAACCTTCTCATGCAACCACCTCCATTAAGAGACCACCTCCATTAAGAGATGACCTGTATTAGAGGCCACTTTTAATGTTTCTTTGCAGTGATTCCTGGTGAGTTTGAATTGTATCAACAGACCACTTGTGTTAAGACCACGTTTTGAACTGCTCCATGGTGGTCCCTTAATACAGGTTTTGCTGTAGTATCACCTAGTTCTACTGAACTCATTCACCCCTGAAGACACATTTTAACTCTTCCAATTCATAGGTTGGAATAGTTCACTATGAAATTTCAGGGGTGAACGAGTTAAAGTACTAATTTTGTTGATAATTATATTTTAGCACTTTTTTCATTAATTGGAAAGAACTTAATCATGATAACTGCAAAAATAAAGTTTCTGATATATTCCTGAACATTGTGTAAAACAGTAGCACTAGATCATGCTGCATATGCAACTTGGAATATTATATTGCCGATTGTGCAGAAACACTAGAGTGACATTACAGACGACCTTGACCGAACCAGTTTGTAGTTACATGTATATACGTGTTGAATATCTAAATACTCTATCAAGTATATGGTCAAGTATATAAGCTATTGGGAAAATTTGCAAATCACCAAAATTGTAACCCATCATGAATGCACAACCAGCCCTCACTTAATTATGTATGTATTTATTCACAGCGGGAACCCTGTAATTGTACACCAACAGGTAAAACCAAGCAAACTGTACAACTGTAATTAAACGGCAAATATTGATCCGACCCCGACTCCTACTATCAGCTACGTAAAATTGGGTCGGAGAGCAACAACAGCTGAAGTTAGAAATACAATTTACAATACACAAGACCCCCTTTTTATATTAAATTTGTATAGTGTAACATTGTCAAATATCAAAAATACTTGTGAAACGTTACGAATAATTGCCAGCACTAAGGAATAGAACTTGTTTTTTACATTACATTCAAGTCTATACAAGATATTTGGTGAACAAAAACGTCATTCAAGTAGAAATGGGTCAAAAGCAACATTTCTTGTATACAAGCTCCGTTTTTGGTTCAATAATTGACTTGGCTATTAAAATTGGCCCATTGTGTACCAGTGTGTTTATTGTTATACACAGCTATATAAATAATATAAAGATTTTATCTCTATAGAGAAAGTACAGTTCTATGTTGTAGATAATGTGTTGTCTATAAAAAGGTTTTTAATTATGTGTCTGGTATGTATGACAATCAATTGTTATTTCAGGTAAATTGTAGGTATAAATCAATACCCACATCGACATCATGACTTAAAGCAAAATTTTATACAGGTGTATTTCTTCGACGTATGAAATATCACTCTAATGAAATTTTGAAGAAATTTTCTAAAAGAAGAATAGACATCATGTCGCTAAAAATGTATACTTTAAAACCATACAATAAGAAATATTTCAACATTCTTACCTTCCCATTGTACGTTTCGTATGAGGCATTAATAATGTAAAATCCTTGAGAAATCTGGTAATTTTTTCTGTTTACATCAGAAATTTCAATATACATTAGGCACAATGTGAAATGGAACATGTCCGAAACCGAACTTAAAAGTGCATCAGAGACACTTGTACTATGTAAAACCGTATATATATACAGGTAGATATATACAGGTATATTCTTTAACAAGGTAAACCATTCATTACATTCACCTGAAACTAATCCAAGTATGACAATATGATTGACCCCATTCTTTGCAGTTTTTACCTATCCCAAACAGTGTCTGTCCACTTAGTAAATTTAAAAGCCCCAATAGATTTTGCCAGTAGGAGTAACAAGCACTGGTATGTTAAAAACCCATTACAATTATATTATAATTTGTTTACTTCAGTTAAAGATTGGTTTTCGGTGGTTTTCAGCAATATTTTTCCAGTATAAACAAAGTTCTGAACTTTCCACACATCCCCACCAGTAAAAGAAAATTCCATAATTGATGTCAAAATACTTAGATTGGGCCAGTAAAATGTAGCTTCAAAAAGTTGAACCCCTTTTACCCTTCGTACCAGTCTGAGGCAGCTCATTTGATTTATGAAAAGGTTGAATGTATGACTGTGGTTGTACATTTATTTACTGACTGTACATATAGAGGCAAGGTGAAATCTGAAAACCCTTGAATTTGAAAGTAGACAGAAACGATGATGCCAAACAACTGTGCCACTGGTTTAGCTAACAGCTTGAGCTGTCGGGATGTGAATTTTAAGAATATCAAAATGCAACGGGATTGCTTCTGTTTGATACAGTTTGATATAAATATCGATATATGCGATATATATATGTTAATGAACTACAACAACCGATGCGTATCAGTAATGCCTCCAATTGCATGTAAGAATTCCTTGAAGTTGATGTGTCACCTGTCACACTGGTCAGTGGTAGCCATTTTGATTTCCAGATTTGGGTCAAAAATAATCTTGAGCCGTTAATTGATATTCTAAGCCTGTGAAGAAAGTGTCGTGAAAATCGAAGCATTCGTTCAAGGGTTATCGCACAGAAAAACATTAATTTTGCACCAAATCCAAGATGGCCACTGGCAGCCATGTTGAATTTCAGATCTGGCTCAAAATCTAACTTTAAGGGACAATTTATACTAATATAGGCATATGTATACAGTTTTCTGAATATAAAAATATTCCTCAATTGCACAGAAACTGTTTGTGTAAACACCAACAATGTTGACAGGGTGTCCCTATATGTAATGTCCCTATATGTAGTCCCTATATGTAGTCCCTATATATAATGTCCCTATATGTAGTCCCTATATGTAATGTCCCTATATGTCACCTTTGCTCTGCAGGTGGAACAGAAATCAGGGAGAGCCCATCTTTAAAATTCTTCATAACTTTCCCCGGTATGTAATTACTAGACATTTTAAACCTGAGATAGTGTTTCCTATTATGTATGTTTACAAACATGTACATGTTGTACACTGGAA